AAATTAGTAAACCTCAAATAATATATTAGGAAATGTGAATAGAAACACCTACTATGAATTTTTTAATTGAAAATTGGTAAACAAATATATTTTAAGCTGAAAACTAAATGTATCCAGGCATTTGAAGAAAATTTCATAATTTTTATACTTATCCTGTACAATAGTTTCTTTTGTTCACATTTTAATTTATAATGCATAGAGTATAAAGCATTACCTATCATTGTAAAACACTATACATCACCTCTTATTTTATATTATGCTAATAAACATTGGTATCTAAAAAAGAAATTCGATTTTTTAAAATATGTAATTGTGGGGTGCAAACATCAACTTTTCATTAGAACCGTTTCGAAGTCTTCAAAGAACCTTGAATCATATTGCGATGGATGAAATGAAATTTGTTGCATGAAAAGATTGTAATTTCAAGTTTCATTTTGAAACTTTTTGAATTAAATTTTAAATTAAAGAGTTATCCTTCCTAGCTGAGGAACGGATATCTTTAATATCAACCATTCAGTACAATTTTTGGTAAACTTTCCTATTTCTCGAAGAAAAAATACAAATATAGCTTTATATGGAATTCCATATACGAGAGCCAACTGCTTGCTGCCAACTGCTCACTGCTTACTACCAACTGCTCACTGCTTACAGCCAACTGCCACTGCTCATAGATGATTTTGCCTGTTCTGTTATCTTAAATATCTTTAATACGCATGCTTAATTGAATAAACCCTATGATATATTACAATAATAACAAAAATTGGCGGATTCAGGAATTTTTAGACAGTGAAGGCAAGGAAGGAATAAATAGGAGGAAAGAGTATTCCCTCTTAAATGCAATACGTCTAATTCCCACATTTCCTTGCAGGTAAATAATTCAATAGATTTTTTGACCGGGGGATATTTTAAAAGGCTTATATACATCAGAATAAATGGGGGGGGGGGACTTTGAGTAGAATCTTGGGTTACGTTTGTTGGCATATGCATATATATCAGAAATACTAATAAAAATCATAAAGGCCTTTTACTCTATGTAAAAACAGTTGATCTCAGGCAAGGAAAAGCAATTTCAGTGCGGGGGGGGGGGGGGGTGCACAACCCAACATAATTCCCTTGATAAGGAATAAAAAAATCACAGGCGTCTTTATTGAGGGAGAACCACTGTATAGTATATGTTAGAAATTTAGTAGGTATCCCCCCCCCCCCACCACCACCACCACGAATATTTTTACAGATCTAACATTAGCCATCAAAACGATTTACATAAAACACATTAAAATTCCCAAACATAGGTAATTTTCCTAGGGTAAAAAGAAACACCGAAAGATATTACTAGATATTTTACACTAGGCAAAAGTTATGTTACTATAACTTTCAGTAACATTTCTAGTATAAATTCATATACCAACAAATGTTTCTTAAGACCCTTCTGTAAGTTTTTTCTTTTGTCGTATGTGAGCCGCCCTCTTTTTTCCCCGCTTCAAAATAAGCTACCAAATTATTTGCCTGCAACGAAATGCATTAATTAAATGTTTTGTTTTTAAGAGGGAAATACTCCTTCATCCGATATACTCCTTCCTCGCATTTACAGTTTAAAAATTCCTGAATCCGCCAAATTTTGTTATTATTGTAAGAACTACGCAAGGTAACTCTCGATTCCCGCCTACATTTTCCATCCATTTAATTCAATATAAATGGCAATTTGGACATTAAAACTTGTTTGAATGCAGAGAAAAGTTCATTGGTATTAATTACCAATTTTAAAAACCAGTGACAAAAAGTTGATTGTTCTAATTTATAACTCCTTTAATAAGGGGGTAGAAAAAAATTTTATCAATTGAAATCAGGCTGAAAACATTACCAGATTTTCAAATACTCATGAAAATTGAAAAATTACTCTTAAATATCACCGTATGTTTAACTTATGTAAAATTCAACATATGAGATTGATAAATTGATAAAGTACATTTTTTATTTGTTGTCTCATTTGAAATTGCTAATAAAATGACTATTTTCCTGTTTTTAATCTTCAAACACCCCCCCCCCCTCTTGAGACAACAAAGCCTTTGGAATGAATAAAAACTGAAAAAAAAAGGATTTGTTGTTTCGCGGGGGAAGATATTATGCAAATAAGTTTCCATTTTCCGTTAATTTCTGCAGGCCCCCTCGTGACCTTGGACCCCCCCCCCCGTTAAGTTAGTATGAAAAGTCATAGATATGAAGATATGAAGCATAAAAAGTCCCCCCCCCCCCCCCCCGAGATAGGTTTTTCACGTTTAGGAAAGGAGTTTACGTTTTTGTTTTTTGTTTCTTTTTTCTTGTCAAGCAATTTCTGGGTTGGATTCTTTTTTTACTGGGGTGGACCCCTCCTGTAAAAAAAGTCCTGGATCCGCGCCTGGTTTTATGAAAATTCACATAAATATCAACAATATAAATATGAAAATTTATTCAAATATGTGTGGCAGTTGGCAGTAAGCAGTGAGCAGTTGGCAATAAGCAGTGAGCAGTTGGCAGTAAGCAGTTGGCTGTCGAATATGGAATTCCATAATATTTAGCATTATTTTTTTTTTGAATATGTACATTGAAAGTCTGGTTGCCCCCTTCCACAGTAAAAAAAAAATCCTAAATTAATGGATCCTGACATCCCACCCCCCCGAAATAAGATGTAAAATTTGGAGACTTTTCCTCTTTTTGGGGCTGTCAAAGATATTGTCAGGTAAGTTATCATTTTTTCCTCCCCAGGCCCTTTTCAAAATCGATGCTATGACCTGACATTCAATTTTTCTGTTTGCCTAAAAACCTTGACTTTTCAACCAAATAATGATTTTATTTATTTTTTATGAGAGTTAGCTGTGTATATGGACGGACGGATTATGCAAGAAAAAGTGGTGTGATTGTTTCTAATTTAATATTTGAAGACACCCATTCATTTGATTTGCGGCGTAACAATTCAATTAAAGATCTCTAAATAATTTAAGAAATCTTTAAATTCTGAATTATTGCGTGCATTAATACAATATTACTGTTGATACCATCAATTAATTTGTTAGTGATATCTTTAATTCATCATATCCGTCTTTGTATCTTATGGGCTGTTTCTTCTATCAAATTAGAGAGATATCAAGAGGACATGGGTACCATCATTACCGAAAAACGCCGATAGAGATGGATAGGACGTTCTAGCGAAAAGACCCCAAGTCAACAAGGACCCCCAGTCAACAGTGCAGTGCAAGAACAGCACTGCACTGAACCCCAGGGGGCAAAAGGCCAAAAACATCATGGAGTAGGACGGTGGACGAAAGTGAGATGAAAGCCATGTTCTGGGATAGACCTGGGGATCATTAACTAGCTGGCCGAGCACAGGCAAGAGTAGGGGAAGTTTGTTGCTGCCCTACACACCACAGGGTGAAAAGGACGATGGTGATGAAGAAATCATTCATACAGAGACCTCTGTTTTAAATTTGTAAGCAATAATTCCACAACGTTGTTTAGCTTAACAATGGAATTGTTGCGCTCAATAAGAGCAATAATTGATTTGATGTGCGAATCAATTAACACGATTAAGTTATGACGGCAATAGTTGATATGATGCATATTTTTACAAAAATTGACTGAAAATATCGTCATATACTAGTTAGTATGGTGGCATATTTCTCCCCCCCACATGCAAGATAAATTATGTTAACGTATGTCAACATGCAAGATAATTATGTCTACATGCAAAATAATTATGTTGACATGCAAGTTACCCGGCAATCTTTCTAGAGATCTCATTTTAATGTTGGTAAAGTTACTTACCAATGCCAGTATACGACATCATACATGGCAAGGTTCAACAGAATTATGTCAACATGCGACTTATTTATGTTAACATGCAAGATAATTATGTTAACATGCAAGATATTTATGTCAACATGCGACTTATTTATGTTAACATGCAAGATAAATAAGTTAACATTCAACTTATTTATGTGAACATGCGACTTATTTATGTCAACATGCAACTTATTTATTTGAACATGCAAAGTATTTATGTCAACATGAAAGATAATAAGTTGCATGTTGACATAATTTACTCGTATGTTAATACAATTAACTCGCATGTTGACATAAATAAGTTGCCTGTCTACATAACCTTGCATGTTGACATAAATAAGTTGCATGTTAAAATTTTAACTCGAATGTTGACATGATTAAATAAGTTGCATGTTAACATAGTTATCTTGCATATTGACATAAATCACAAAATACATATAAGTTGCATGTCTACATATAATTATCTCGCATTTTATCATAAAAAGGTCGCATGTCAACATAATTCTGTTGCATTTTGCTTGTATGATGTCATATAATAGCGTTAGTAAGTAAGTTTACCAACATTAAAATAAGATTTTCTAAGGAGATTGGTAACTTGCATGTAAATGTAATTATTTTGCACGTTGACACAAATAAGTCGCATGTCTACATAATTATGTTACATGTTTAAAACATAATTTATCTTGCATGTAGAGGGCAGAAATATGCCACCATAGGTTAGTAATTCTAGATAACAATTATTTGAGTATATCAATTTGATGTTCATCAAATGTACGGCGTAAATTTGTTGCCAGACTGACAGACAGTTAGATTACCGAATACGCTGACTCGATGCTTACTTCGGGGAATCTTCATCTGAGGTTAAAAAAAAATAATAATTTAATAAAAGGTTCATGTAAAAGATATTTTTTTTTTTTACTGAGAAGGAAGACACGTCCATTGAACAGGTGAGCTATTTTTCGACTAAGAATTATTTAAGAAAGAATTATCAAAAAATACCTTATGCACTCGGAGCACCTCGTGTGGCTCGCTATCTCGAGTAGGGAAGTTATCCGAGAATGCCGATTGAACCTTCTGACCGTACAATCCAATCAAAAGCGTTCATTGATGAAGGCGAGTCATCCTTGACCTTTACTAGGGACACATACTATCTAAAATGGCGACATTGTCCGTTTATGATACCTAACATATGTGAAGTTACGGAAAAACTCAAAGATGGAGTAACCAGTCAGCTCAAGAGGTTGGCTTTAGCATAACTTAGGTATTTTGTAATTTTTGAAGGAATTTAATAATTAGGATGGGATTTTCCAGTCACTAAAACCGTTTTGCCGCTTTTGTGAAATTCATTGTTCAACAAGCTTAAATATTTCAGTGTAGCCTGACCCTACACAAGCTTTGTATAAATAAATAAGCATTTGAGTAAATAAATAAGTTATTAGCAGATTAGAGTAATATTTACCAGTTTTAGAAAAAAATGTAGCCGTAATTATTCAAAATGTTTGCAGAGGAAATGTAAACAATGATTAATTTTTCAGATATTTAAAAAATCTTTCCTGAGAAAACATGAAGAGATGCTGTTGACTGAAGAGGTGATTAAGCATGAGTTTGTCTCGCTTTCATCAATTCCTGTCCAAGGGTCAACACAACAAGCAGGAAATCGAGGAAGATGTTCTCTTGAACAATTCTCAGGAAGGTGTGAAATGGTCCAGATATTTAGTGAAACTTGAAGTTGAGACCGTGATGCGTAAGCGTCAGTTGTCTTCGAAAGTTTTACTTAAGACTAGTGTAACAACTGTACTTCTGATATGTTTATTATTCCTGACTTTTTACACCATAGTTCTCATATTCTTCACCCCAAGTGTGCCAATGGATTATAATGAGTGGAGGGGACGTCATCGATTGAAGTTGATTGCCAAGATAAAGTCTGGTAATGGAAGTCAGAGACAGTATAACCAAATTTCCAAGTCAGGGATGTGGAATGTGTCCAATTCTGTCAATATACATTTACCAGAACCTAGATGTGAGAGCAAGCTTGTGATATTAATTCTTATTTGTTCCTCAGTGCAAAATTTTCATCAGAGAAATGCAATAAGGAACTCTTGGTGTAAAACAAATTCAAACAACAAATATTCCTGGCATTGTGTATTCCTTGTTGGACAGGCAGAAGAAAGTGGGAAGTATTTAGAACTGACACAAAAATTAGAAAAGGAAAAAGACAAATATAGAGATATTTTGCAAGGCAGCTATACAGATACATACAGAAATCTTACATACAAAGTGATGCATGGACTTACATGGGCAACTGCTCATTGTCACTCAAAATTTGTTTTAAAGACTGATGATGATTGCTTTGTGAATACTCAGTTACTATATGATTTAGTTTTACACCATCAAGATATAAGCAGTCTCTATATAGGAAAAGTGACAAATGACTTGGAGAAGAGAAAGGTGATTCGTAATGTTGAAAATAGGTGGCATGTTTCAGAGTTTGATTACAGTAGAGATTATTATCCACCTTATGCAAGTGGAGCTGGGTATCTGATGTCTTGGGACACTGTTGAGAAATTTGTATCCATCAGTCCATATATCAAACCTATTCCTATTGAGGATGCCTATGTGGGAATCCTTGCAGAAGCTAAAAATATCATTCCTTCCAACTCTGGGAGATTTGTTTTGATGAGTAATGGCTGGACTCTCTGTAATTATGCATACTTAGTGGTCATTCATGGTGTGAACTATCAAGACCAGGAGGGGTTGACCCACCGATCTGTGCAGGCCACAGAGAAATGTTTGGAGGGGCAGTCTCGGGGAGAAATGTACACCTGGAATTAGTTTTACTGGCACACTCTCAGAGAGACAGAAAATTTGTTTGTTACCAATGTGTTCAGCTTTACATCTTTAAGATCTGATTTTCCCTTCGTCTTGCATTTTGATTTAATTTGATTCTGACCAACTGCTTCTATTAGTCACCATTGATTTATACCTCAAGAAATTCATGTTCACCTAGATAAATTCTCATGAAAGAAAGTCAAAAATTTTTGTTCCTCTTTTAAGTACCAGATATAGATACAGATGTCTGCTTTCATTTTGGTAGTACATTATCATTTTACATTGTTAAACTAAAAATTATACATATCTAGATGCTTTATGCAGTAATAGTTTTTAAAAAAACTGAATTGCCAATTCTTTTCCCTCACAAACATCATTCAAAATTGTTTTTGCCAAAAAAAAAAAAAATGCTATAAAATTGTTTGTCCTTTTTCTTTCTTTTTTTTTTTTTTTTGGGGGGGGGGGGGGGGGTTAAATAATAGAATAAGTGATTTTTCTATGTACATTATGGTAACATATCAAGGTGTCTAAAGTATTTATGTCTTTGCCCCATTTTTGAAATTTTATTATTCAGGTATGGAAATGTGAACATTTCTAGTCACACAGCAGGATGAGAAGGTCAAGGTTAAAATTTGTTATGAAACCTTGTCTAGTGCTTGAAATATACACCGTGGAGCAGCATGAATTTTACATGAGAAAGGCATGCTGGATACAATAACTTTCAATGTGGTACATTCGTGCAACTCGGATGTTTTATCTCTTGGCATACAGCATGTAAAAGTACTTTCAATCAACAGATTAGTCTACCAAAATTGTAGTAAAAAAATAATTTTGGGGGGTAAGTCAACACGGGGGTCAGAACCAAAGGCCTCTTAATATAAGATCTTTATACACATCAATCAGCAGTCTGTGTAAATGGGAAATTTCTCAACATTCATTGTTTTGAATAAAAAAAAACCCAACTTGTTAACTGTTATCATGGTTATTTATTTTAAAAAAAAAGATGTAAGTATTTGATACACAGTGATATAGGGCATGTCTTTTTTCATTTGTCTATCATTGTCTCATTTTTTTCTCATTTCTTGTCTTTGTTTTCATAACTGTCTATTGACTATGACAAAGTTTGTGTTTTTATCGTATTAGTATGGGCGGTTTAAATGTTTATGATTTTTGTGTGCTTGATATGTATTTAGCAAGGTAATGTGTAAAAAATTACTTTTCACGTACTTTGATCTTGCCATCAACTTTAGTAAATTCAGGCTTCTAGTTTTGCACATGCTTTCAGCTGTCTGTAAGGTTGTCATAATTAAACCAAATTAAATCATCATTTCATTCAAACTTTACTCAACAATACAAATCAAATTATTGCATTGAAATTTTTATTTCTGAAGTTCTAAATCTGATTATTATAAATATATGAAGGGCACAAAGATTTTTTTCAAGTTGATCCTGTCAGATTATTTACATTCAGACTTACAATATGCACATTGCCTTTTTTTTTTCTTTACAAGGCAATTTAAAACTTGACCTAGTTTGCCTAAGGATATTTTTGGAAGATTTCCAGTAGACTGTGTCGTACTCTATAAGCTCAAATGACACATTCTATTTATTAACACCTGACATTCCTATAATTGTCTTTACCTTTTTTTTTTGTACAACTTCAAGAGATTTGTTTTGAAGAAACTGAGAATCTCCAATGTTATATACATTCATGTACGAGTATATGTCTTGGTTTTCTGGATTATCCCAATTTTCTATGCACTTTTTACTTATTTTTGACTCTTTTTTTTTTTCGCAAATACTCATTTGTTGTCGAGATCTGCTTTTTAAATCTACGAATATATAGCAAGTCCTTATAGACTCAAAATTCTCATGAAAAAAACTATTACTTGAAATCAAAAATCATAGGAGAAAAGATTGTGTTATTTATATCAAGAGATTGTCCAGTCACGGGAAAGTCCTTTACACTTATGACTCAGTTTCTGGTTTCAGTATACAGTGGACATCACCACTCACTCACTCAAGCAGAATGACCTTTGATTAGTCATCAGCTAACATCATTACATTTTTCATATGTCCTGAGCCAGTATGATATTATTGCATAATGTACTTTTTTTTTTTTAAGCTAACTGATTTGTACTAGTATTAATACATTTTCTTCTTCAAAAGATCTGGTTGTAAATTCATTTGTCATCACGTCAGTGTTTGTCACACAAATACGGTAATCAGGATTTTTTTTTTTGATTGACATAAGATATGTATGTTCATGTGTGAAGATTATCATGTCATTATAGTTTATAAGTTTTTGTTCTCTGGATGTGTTGGTTTCGGTTAAGTTTTGACAAATTCAAATATGAGAAATAAAATTATAAAAACACCTCTGTAGTTGCTTTTATCTATAAGATAATCTTTTGCTATTTCATACAAGATAGGTATTTGGATTCCAGGTTGCTATTTGATGGGACATTCGCATCTTTGCTGTAAAAGGGTTCCTGAAATGCTACTCTCCTCATGGAGAGTAAAGATGGGATAATTGATATTAATACATTCTCTCTTTTAAGCTTAAAAATTTATTTCATTTATGGAAATGAAAAAAAATTACCTTAAAACTAGTTTTCAAGTAAAAAAAATTGTGAATTCACATTGCATTTATTAACAGTAGGATCCTAGTGATTAACAGTAACCTAAATATAAATTTTATTCAGTATAGGACCAACTCAAATCTAATTGGAACTGAAAACCATATATCCAGGTGTTCATGCAAAGGTGTATCCATTGACATGGTTGGTACAATTTTTGAGTAGACTCCGGCATGAATTTGACAATTTCCTGTGGACTATGCGTTCATTTTTCTAGAATAAAGATTTTTATAGTATCTATTTATAAATACAACAAGAACACAGTTGGTGAGGTCTGAATACAGTGGGCATAAACCCACAAAGTTTGGAAGAGGATCAGCTTTTCATTATCAACAATTTGCCTGTTGCATGAAGATGGCCATGAGTTAATAAGGGGATCGGAACTGTGAAAGTTTTTTGATTCCTCCAATAAAAGATGCTACATACTTAAATTGACTCAGCCATTTCAAAGAAGCTGAAAATGTGTAACTTTATGAACCTATCTATAGCTAAAAAATTATGATATGACTTGCACTTTTGAACATAGTGAACATAAGGCAGCTAATTGAAGTTTCATATACTAAAGAGAACAATTAATTACATAGCTCTTCATTTGTATTATATCTTTTGCATAATTAATGACAGAAAATATGCTTAAAAATATATGTTTAGCCACATAAAATATTTCTGAACAAAAATCTTGAATATTAGAAACCACATGACCTATTGACAGTTTGGTTTCTAATGCAAGTACCAGTACAAAATTTAATGTACATAGATCAGGGGCCCGTTTTACAAAAGAACTTACGGCTAAGACCAAAAACTTAAGTTGATTGTAAACTTTTGCAAAATTAATGATTATGTTTAAAATTGCTAGCATAAAAATATCTTACTACATTCCTTTTGAAAAGATTAAAACCATTTTCAATATAATGTAAATTAAAAGGTTATAAGCAGAATTAAATTTTGGTCTTAGTCGTAAGTTCTTTTGTAAAACGGGCCCAAGGCCATCCAGCAATTATTGACAAAAAGTTAAGGGTTAACTTTGGGGATAAAATTAAGAAATTTTAGGGCTAAAATTTTGAATTTTATAACTAAATAAGGGCAGTTAAAGATTTATAATCCCTCTGTTTACTCATAAAATGTTGCTTTAATGCTCAAAAAATTTTCTACATGAAATGCATCTCATAAATGCAAAAATTTTAGTATGGCTTACTGGGCAAAATTGGATAAAAAAAAGACCTTTCAATTTGACAAATTTATACAGAAATGATAGACATTTATCCACCTTAACACATTTCAAAGGATTTTCTTTCACAAATTTTAAAGTGAACTTTTTAGGAGAGGAAAGGTAGACTGACACATTGTATACACTGGTCAACTGCCTTTCACTGCATAATCTGAAAACTGCAAAGTACATAAAGGCAAATTTTGTCTCTCTTGCATTGTCATTCTCATTTCTAACACTGTTGTCATTTTTGACATTCCCTTGTGTCATTCAAATTTAGATCCCAATACATAAGGCCATAGGTGTCACTGGCCCTCTCAGTGAACTGGCCCTCTTAGTGCAAAGTACATTTAAGAAAACATCCAATAAAAAAATAAAGTCAGCAATGGTTTTTGAAATTAATCTTTACTCTTTGAAATGTCTTCCTTTCTACATAAGTCTGTAGAGAAGATCAAAAGTACCAGAACCACAGGACACAGGTTTACCAGTCACAATCTGAGCAGAGGGTGACTTCAATTTGTCATTAGCACCCTGCATACTGGCTTTAACTAAGAAACTCATGGTTGTCTCAAAACTCATTTGCTGTAAGCATGATGCACAAGTCTCTAAGGCTCTTCTATTAAAAGCCTTATATGTCCCCTCAAATGTCATGTAATCAGCTAGCAATGAAAGGTGTCTGTAATCCACTTCAATACCATAAGCTGCAAAAACATTCTTGATTTCCTGGAAAGGTATAACAGATGAAATTAATTAAATGCCCCTCATCAATACAAGTGTATCATTCAATCAAATTTGTGACATCTATTGAATATTGTTGGTGCACCACCATGAATGGCAACAGTAAAAATTATTGTTTTCATTAATTTGCCTGACCAGCTGAAAAAATTCACTGCCTACCCAAAGTTAAAAAACTAAGGTTGGTAGATGTCAAATCTTTTAAGGTGGTCCATTCAATACAATGTAAATCACCTGACCAAGGTGATCTCAAATTAAATGTACACTGTAAATGTACATATACACTCAAAATTTAACACATTTTTCTTCATCAACTGATTTGTGTAATCATGAATTAGTGGATTTGGAGCCAAGCCTCTATTATGTATTTGTTTCAATCATTTATTAGCATATACTTGAACTGGCAGACAAAAGGCACTAAAATATTATTACCACTAAAATAAGTATGTTTACTGTATTTTCTTCACATTTCTGTGTGGACTTTGAAGAGCAATTTTTCTTCATGGTAATTTTAAAGAACCTCTGTTTTTTGAAACAGCCAGTAATGCTCACCTTTATAATGACTTTATTGGCAGCCTCTATTCCATATGTTCCTGCTATAGCATGAATGTCATTGGAGTACAAGCGATTCAAATCCAGGATGTCAGTGTATGTATACATTTCCTGCAGAAAAAATGCAAGTTTTTAGCATTTTACCTTAAAATAAACATTTAAGTTTTTTCCCTTGATTTGAAAAATAAAAGCTAAAAAGGAAGTGGTAGTGCCCTATTTGCAATTTTGATGGATTTTATTTACAATTTTAATTTTTAAACAATGTTTTAAGTGATGTTATCTAAAACACAGTGTTACTTTTTATAATATGTCATTGCTTATTATCAAAAGATAATGAACTTCTTTAGATGGAAGTTCTGATCATAAAAATGCTTTTTCTTAGTTCTGGGGAAAGAAACAAAACAATCTGGTTTGAATGATTTTTCTGCACATAAGGGTAGCAAAATAAAAATCACTTTGATGAATTTGATTCAAGAAACTTATACACGTATTGTAAACTGAAATTATTGGTAATTATAGAAGTGCAAGGAGACATAATAATTAACTAAAGTATTTGCACTGCAACATATACCTGTATATGTATGGAGGCCCTTTGTAAACTATTTAGTTATTTTTTTTTTCTTTAAGTTCTCAAAAAAAAAAACAAAAAAAAAACACAAGAGGCCCAAGGGCCTTAACTGTCACCTGAGTACATTACAACACTGTAAAGGATCCACAGAAGTATAAAACAAAATTAACTGAAAGATGAAGCTATGTTGCCCAAGAATTTCAAAAAATCTGGTAAAAATACCTTTGCTTATTGTAACATGCTAGACCAGAATGATCTCCTTGGGATGGGACTTAGTTTTCCCTAGCCTTACAGGGATGTTTTGAAATTTTGAAAGAGGCACCCTTCATCATCATAACTATGCATTTAGTTTGTTTGCTTAATACCCAGGAGCAGAGAAGATTTTTCAAGAAATAATGCATTTTTACTATAGATTCAACAGTGTCCCACCCTAACACCAGAACCTGACCCAGAGGCCATGAAATTCACAATTTTGGAAGAGGCACCCTTCTTCATCATAATTATGTACTTAGTTCATCGGCCTTCTACCCCAGAGCAGAGGAGAAGATTTACAAAGAATTAATGAATTTTTCACTATATAATCATTAGAGCCCCATCCTAACATCAGAACCCCTGACCCAGGGGCCATGAAATTCATGATTTTGGAAGAGGCACCCTTCATCATCAAAACTATGCATTTAGTTTGTTTGCTTAATAACCAGGAGCAGAGGAGAAGATATTTTAAGAAATAATGCATTTTCGCTATATATTCAACAGTGCCCCGCCCTAACACCAGAACCCCTGACCCTGGAGTCATGAATTTCACAATTTTGGAAGAGGACTCACTGCTTATTATAAACATGTCAATAGTTCAATTGCTTGATGTCCAGGAGTAAAGAAGAGGATTTTTAAAGATAGCACTAATTTTGATGGTTTTACCCCCAACCCCCAGGCCCTGGGGGGATGAAATTCAAAAATTTTGTTCCCCTTTGCTAATATATGCTGTATGCTAAAATTGGTTAAAAATGGTTCAGTGGTTCCTGAGAAGAAGCTGAAAAATGTTCAAATGTTAATGGACGACGCACATCGCACAGCCCAGGAAGCACAACAATGGACAAAAACAGATAGCAATAGGTCATCTGAGTGACTCAGGTGACCTAAAAAAAAAATGTTTTCCCTGATATACAGCAGGTTTATAATTTATAATTTCTGGAGGCATAAAAGTTGACCATAATTACGCAGCAATGTTAAGGCTTCCCGAAGCTTTAAATGCGTTCAAAACATAGCACTGCATTGCAAGGTCGATTTTTTATTTTGATTTGTAAGTTATGTACTTAAGTACGGCCAATTTATGTAGAGAGTTCTCTAGGCTATATATAAACGTATTTGTTATGATATCACATGACCTCGTTGATCACGTGACGGTCATTTCTACGTTTTTGAAGTGTTTCACATAAATCGCTTTGGCGCAGGTGATTAACACAATTATTATTAACTTTTTGTCACATAGATAAACTCCTTGTGAACCCGAAATGTGCTTGGGAAAAGTTTTACTATTACTCTGGTACAAAATATTTCACAATAAATTCAACTTACAGACAAATTTGAAGGTATATTCCACTCAATATCATCATCTGTATTAAAACAAAGCCATCACTCATTTTTCCAAAGCAAGATTCAGTTAGAGGGGAAACTCCTCTTACAGATTTCCACAAAAGATCTCAAATAAATCCTCATTAATCACCTACGCGTGGCTCTTTTATACACATATTATAAATTCTACTTCTATCCAAGGGTATAAAAAAGGGTAAATGTCAAAAGTATATTCTCATATATATTTTGAACACGCTGACTTTTAAACAAGAGTAATAAAGCAAAGTTATCTAAAATTTTCGGATATATAAAATTTTTTAAAAAGATTAAAACACGTTTATTTTACACTACCTTTCTGACACTTTATATGCAGATTGAAATTAGGTGTAAAGTTTATGACACTCTCCCCATCATAACAGCTCAAGTTTGCAGTGACTTGACGTCATTTTCAATTATGACGTCATACATTTGTAGTTCAGAGAAATGAAGGCACAGAGTACACTGCAATATTCTCTGGGAAGCCTTAACGTACCTGCGTAAAACTTTTTGTTATTTAATTGTCTGTTGGGATATTATTTGTCATAATAAGCACATTGCATTCCTCTTTGCTGGAAATTTTTCTTTTCATTAAAAAAATAAAGTGCACTTTTGACACAAATGAAACATTATAGATTGCTGTATAGCGTATCAATAATGTTGCGAAATACTGCTTGTTAGTATTTATTTGTCTTTCTCCACAAATCCTTCCAACAGAGAGAAAATTTAATTAATCTTCAGAATTTACCAGGATGTTGATTCCTTCTGTGCAGATATGGAGTTCCGGATGATCTTGACCTTTAACCTCTTTGAGAAGACACCTATTTATTCCTGGGACACAGTGGATGACTGTTTCCTTGGCATGTTCCTCAATTAAGGAAGTGAGATCTATCTTACTGTTCAGCAAGCCAAACTGTAACATTGGAAAGAATCTTTGAAACAGTATTCATTTTACCACACAACATGTGAAGAACAGATTATTTCTACAATGTGCTATGGTGAATGGAAAACTGTCCCTACCTGAAGTGTAAATTCACACCAAAGCTCTTTCTTCACATCATATTTATAATCAGATATGTTGGAGCTGGATTGTAGTACAAACTAAAGTGAAATGCAGAGATACAATGTACATGTAATTATGTTAGATATACTGATTTACACCTTGTTACAATGTATATAGATGTATGTAAAACCTATAGAGTACCTGTATCCTGTTTTCCTTGGACTCCTTCTTCACAGATGACATAAAACTGTCATTGTCTCCCATGTCTTCTTCATCTTCATCATTTTTACTGTCATCCATCTCTACATCTTCCTCTTCTGCAAAGAAATATCACAGATATTTCTTAATACACTTACAAAGTTTTATAATCATTATAACTTTCTGAAGTCCTGAATTTTTATTCAGGTGATGTATGGATTTCATTTAAAAATTTAGAATGATTTTTCAAACACTTCAAGAGGACTTCATTCAAAAATTTTACAAAATTTCATACCTATTAAGGCTAGTTTCTCAAGTATTTACTACATATACATGTATTGTATAAGTGGAAATATTAGCGAGATGCAAATTTAGTGATTTGTCCTTAAAAATTGGTATTTTATTTTTAGTGAGAAGAAATTTTAGCAATTTTAAAATGCTCACTAAAGAAGCTATTACAAATAAAACGTTATTAATTTTTAGCGATATTCAATTTTAGTGATCTCAGCTACCTTGCTAATAATGCCAAAATTAAATCCTCGCTAAAAATTCTGCTTATACGGTATATGTCAAAATTGAGCTCAAGTTGTTTCTTGTTTACTCTTTTGCAAAACAAATCAGACAGAAAATTCTATGCAGTACCTCCAAATACTTTTCATTTTTTAGTGATCACATCTGCCTTAGAACAGCATTTCTCTCCCTTTATAATGGACTCATTTTAATACATGGGGACCAATTTTCACAGAATGCATGAAATTTAAAGTGTTCGTGGGGATGTAAAATTGTGGAAGGGGGACATTATGAAAGATATAGCCTTTAGATGAATATTACTTGAGGTTATGAATTTGTTCGATTGATACCCAACATATGCTTAAAAACTGAGCCCCCATAAAAGGTATTGATGCTACAGTTATTACTTTATATCCACAATTCAAAATTCAGAAAAAATAAAAAAGATTTACTATTAAAAAATCAGCAGCAAATTTCCACCTTTAGTCAGAACAATTCTAAGACTTCACTTACCCTCATCCTTTTCCTCCACCTCCTTTTCTTCCTCTTCATATTCCTGCTCCTCCTGTTTTTTCTGCCTCTCTTTGACATCTGAGGCTGTGTTGTCATTCTCCTCAACATCTGACGAATCCTCATCGTCTGAGGCCTGAGCTCTCGTATGAGGATTGTGATGAGTTCTGACATGGCCGCTACTCACTAACCTGAGAAACATGCATTTTACATGAATAATAAGTCTGAAATACAACTCTATTGAAAATTTGCAGAGTCCTGAATATGAACGATTTCAAAATTGCATAATTTCACTCTATTCAACCACATCACTTTTAAATGCATTTTACATTCAACCAGTAAGAATTGTATGTAACACTGAACTGCAGTAACACTGCATTTAACACGTTATACAGCCTGCTTTTTGTGACCTACTGTAAATACATTTCTGTTCTAGCATGGAACTGATACCATTAGATGCTAATTAATCAAAGTGCTTCCTTCACTTGCCTTGCTTTCTGTAAATCACTGATTTTCTTCTTTACTTTGTTCAGCAAGTTCCTAATGTAGGTATTCTCCATAAAATATAGAATTGATGAAGGGGTAACATGTAGTCTCCGTTTGTAAAACTCAGGCTGTAGGAAATTAAATCGAAGCTTGAAAACTCTAGATCGCTGGCTGAAATACAAAAAGATATCAATAAGATAATGTGAAATAAAATGAAATAAAAAGGCAATCGCAGATATTAATTTAACAAATTCCCGTTTGAATGCATGCTTTGTGAATGAATTTCTCCAACAAGCTTGCATCCTTACCTTTTGCTTAATTCACATATAGCGAGATACTCATTCACTGTTACTTTTTCCAAAACCTTGAGAAATAGAATAAAATATTAAAACCAGTGGAACCTCAATATCTTGAACTTAAGGGACAAAAAAGTTTGAAATCTACCAAAGTTCAAAATAGTGAAATTCAGACACAATTTCATGACAAGAAATGCCTTGTAGTTTAGTCTGACATATTCCTGGTACATATACTGACATACATGTATCAGAGTTAAAGTGTATAAAATCTTTAATTCATGAATTCACAGTTTTTGTTTTCAATCTGCTTTTGGTAACTTTATATACATGTAAATATGATATTAGTTCTACTGTATCTTCGTTAAAAATACACCAATATTTTTCAACTTTTGCGACTGTGAAAATACTGTGAAATTTGGTAATGGGGAGGTAACTGGTATTTCTACCCATGATTGCTCCAAGTTTACAGAATAGTAATTTGTATTAATTCTTCATTTTTTTTTTTACTTTGACAACTAATCCAAATTTATCTGCATGATACTTATGTGGCACCACTAACCTCTGACAAGACAACCTTATTGAACCTTGTCTGCAGACTTTTGGCTTTATCCTGACATTGGGCAAGGATGGGCACCTCCATTGATGGGGTTTTGATGTTCTGTGAAGCCACCATTAATATCTCCACTAAACGAGGAATACCCAGTGTTACATTCATTTCACCTCGACCAGCAAAGTGAAATGTGTTCAAGGTCATCTGAGTGGAGGGTTCTCCAATAGACTGTAAAACAGGGTCACTTTAAACGATTAAAATGTTCATATTGCCTTGAGCAAAAATACATTTGTATAATCATAAAAAAAAAATATAGAGGGAAAAAAAGAACAAGTATGCTTCCTTGTTAAGTCCATTTCTATACAGGATGGCAGATAGATTGGTTCAGAAAGCCTAATGGCACATAAATGGCAATCAAGTATACACTTAATCAGTTAAAAGAACTATTTAAGGACATCTGGTGTTTAACAAATCAAACACACCCTGTATAACTACTTATGTATGTCTCCTTGTATATAGCACGTTACCTGAGCACACAGAAGTCCCACGGCTTCTCCTGGCTGACAGAAAGACTTCTTTGCCTTATCACACAACAGCCTCATAAAGTTCTTCTCAGTTACTGAAGAAGCTAGCTGCAGAACAATAGGAGTAATTTAATACAAATTAGAAAGTGCAGAACAAGTGAATGCTACCAGCAATTTTGAAAACAAGTGCATATTAAAGGAATTTATTATTCAAGATAATGAACAACAATTGCATGATTAATACATTACATAGATGCATCAACTCATTCCTACATTTGGAAGTTCATTTTTACTGTAGTCCTGAATTTTCTGAAGGAAACTCTCAGGAAGTACTCCATTGTACTGGAAAGGTCTGTACATACTTGTGACAGGTTCAGGGGCTTTTTCATCATATTTCATGTATCTACAAAGTGCTTAATACTTAACTATATCGCAATGAAGTGTGCAAGGGGAGATAATTCTTAGTGTTGATAAATTTGTATACTATTACTGAATGCAGCATTGTTTTTAAAAAGATTTTTCCTATTTTCATGCATTCCTCTTTAAACTTTCGTATCCCAGTTTTGACTCAATCAGTTCCGTTTGGGCCTTAATTTGAACCTATTGTATTGAAGAAAAATTTTCAGAGGCTTTATTTTCTGAATCTGAGGTTTCTTTGCAGAAGATTTTTAATGACCCTCTCTACTTTCAAAATTTCTTAATAATGTCCCCTTCAAAGGGGCCTAGAATCTTGACAAATTACATGTTACTCAAGGAAGCTTTGAGGCATATTTGATGATACCTGCAATATTCTGTAGATAAAAGATAAAAACAGAAAGTTTACAAAAGATGGATATCAGATAGTTCACTTGAAACTCTGGCTTAGGTGAATATAAAGTATGGCTAACAAATGTGATAGACAGATGGACAGAACATAATAACTTTTCTATCCTTTTCACATTTCACTGGAAGGGGGACAGGTCTATCCTCTATTACCTCTCTTTCTCCGTTTCCCCCAGACTGCGCCACCTAGTGATGATTTCTACAGCAGCTTTACTCCTCCCACTCTTGTCCAGAGTTGTATGATCCAGGACCTCTTCCTCAGCCATGTCTTTAGAATATTCCAGGAAGGCTGAATGTCTTCTATCTCTCTTGCTGTTTGATTTGTTCCACTTCTTAATCTAGTTTATGCCAATAAAAAGTTTATGATTTTTTTTATTTAAATATATAAAACATTGATTTTAAAAATGTAAAATTTCTTTTACATTTGTTATAGCCATAAACTAGGGGTGAAACTGTCCAAGGGCCTTTGTGGTTACTTGGGTATCATATAGCAACTTTCTGTAATAAACATCCTGCTAAAATCCATCCTATAAATATTGAACATGGACCCACTGGCTACGATGTTAAATCACTTGAAAGGATGCTTGCATTTGATCTGAGAATTCTTAAAGTTTACTCTTCCTTTGCTATGTAAAGCCTTGAGCCCTATGACTTAATATTACCCTATTTTTGGGACCAATCAGTTGTTTTGTACTGTTTATTGATTCTTCAATATATAAGGATGCTTGCATGTTAATGTTACACTTTGTAGCCTTCTAGACCCCCCCCCCCCACCCAAAGGAGGATATTTCTTTCTAAAGGGTTTTTCAAATCATTTTGCATTTAGTTTTAAACCCTTTTAGTGATTCTCAGAGCCATGATTTGAATCAAATTGAATGTACAATATATGAATTTTACAATGTAGATTTTTTAAGATTTCTCCTTGTTTACTTATCTATTAAATTCAGACCTCTTATGTTGCCTTATCCCAGCACCAGTGTCCAAATTTAATAAAATTTGAATTTTAACTGTATATAGAAACTTTATATTAAAATAAATTTGTAATTTATAGTTTGGTGCATGGTTATAGAGAACATTTAAATAACACACTGTGTTTCCATCTTTCAATTATTTTTTTATTTCTCGTTGAGAAGGGGTAATATGGCACTTCATCAGAATAAACATGACATATCCTTAACAAGCTGCTCTTGGCAAATGTAGCTGAAAATAATCCACATGATCCTTTCACATAGAAGTTGAAAATGTTCAAACTTTTACATGTATGGATGACAAACAACAATGGTCAAAAACGTGACTCTCATGACCTAAATTTCCAAGTCTTTGTAACAAACATGCACACACAGAGTAAACTTGCAGAACAACAAATTTGTGTATTTTGAAACTTTTGCAATTTTATCCATTGAAATATAGCATTCAAATTTTCACATTTCCAGACAACTAAGGAATTGAAATCTGTTTTACTTCATGTTAATCCTGCTGTAAGAAAGTTACCTTTTTCATCCTCTTGGTGATCTTCTTATCACATGCCTGACCAGTTCTGCCTACATTACTGTTGTCGATAAGGAAGGGGAACTGTTTCGGAGACAAAAATCCACACTTGGATACATCCAACCCATCCTCACCATAGTAAAACTAAAGAATACCAACAGGTAAGTAAAAAATATCAAATCTATGTTCAGTTGACAATAATACTTCATCATTTTTAAGACTTTGTTCCTATATCATCCCTCCCCTTTCCCTACCTGTACTCCCCCCCCCCTCCCCCCTACCTGTATAACACTCCCATCACTGTCCCTCACTGTCATGTCATAGTTCACCATTACCCCCTCCAAGTGTTTAATAAGGCATCGCTGAAGATAACCACTTCTACTTGTCTTTACAGCTGTGTCTATCAATCCCTACAAAAGAAGTATAATAAAATGAACCAATCCAATTCTTCTACAGAAAACAAACAATTCGTAATTTTTTTTTGTTATCAAAATTTATTTTGAAATGTATTCCTTTGAATCATAAAATCATCACAATAATGAATTATTGATACCAATCTGATATAGATTAAAGCAATCATACAGAAAATGTTTTACCTCTCTTCCTGCCATACAATGGAAAAAGTATTCCTGAGGCCTTATTCCAGTCAGAAACCTACCAGCCACAAAACCCCCAGCCCTAGGGGAGGTATCGTATGGTAAAAAAGAAGGGAGAGTCTTTCCACTTAGCATTAAAGGGGGACGTCTCCCTTCCAACTCAATTTGTCCAAGTAAACCTGAGATCTGCATGCAGTTCACCTGTAATGGCAAGGTTATATTGATATTAACTGACAATATGTAATTTTAGTTAGAACATGGACGAAGTCATAAAGGGACCTGCTTTGTGCTAATATCAATAATTTTAACTTCGACCTTGACCTTTGATCAAATGACCTCAAATTCTACAGGAGCCTCTCTCCACTCTAACCTTCTTCCATTTAATGAAAGGGATGGTAAATGTAAAGACAGAAATAGGTGTCACAGTAAGTCATAGACATGGGGTCAAAAAAAAAAAAATGATCTTGACCTTTAGTGACCCAAAATCTATGCGATATAATAGTAGTCTGTATAGGTTAAGTTCACATACAGATAAATATATTATTGCTAATTCATAGTCTAATTTCGCCTTGACCTTGTCAAAAAAAAAAACCTAAGTCAGGGTCATGACACATATTATAATATAAAATATATGCATGCCTATTATTATTTGCTAATTTTTCTCAATCAGAAGATTGACAAGACTTTTATATTTCCAATCTCAGTGACAAGATTCTTTCAAATTTTTCTTGGTTCAGGGTAATAACACATCTTAGAGTCTTAAGTGAGATATTTTTATGCCAATTAAGAAAAAAAACAGTATTTAAAACAATTTGAAATTTCTTTTAATGCATATTTGCTTCTCTGAATCCATTTATCTAGATTCTCACTTGATTCCTACAATCACTCTTAGTTTATGCGTCTCTCTCAAATTGTAAAAAAAAAAAGATTACACTTCTAACTCCATATTTACCAATACAGATGCTTATTGTATAGGAGGAATTCTTTAAATCTCTACCCGTTATACCATTTGAAAAGGGACATACAACTAGCCACTTGTGCATTGTTTTCTTTAAAACACCAGTAGGTTATCAACATTTCAGAGATAGCAAAGTTAGACACAGAGGGAAGCAGAGAGATTTTTTTTCATATTTACTGACGTATCTCATAAAATTCCTTGGTATGTATTTCATTACTGACTTGATTTGTAATTGTGCAGAAATGAAAGTATGCTAATTACATTTACTTTACATTGAATGTCCATTTCTGAATCTGGGCTAATTAATATACAAAAGTTAATTCTATTACAAACCCTGTTAAAATTCTAGTTCATATCATTATTGTTACAGGTCAACTTCTTTAAACAAAAATAATTTTCTCATAATTACTTGTGTAGTTCAGTCAATTAAGTTTTCACTAAAGCTTATACTGGTAATTCCTAAAAGACAAAATTTTTAATAATTAAAGACACTGCATACTGGTAATAATTTTTAAAGCCTTTTGCATAACAATTAACAATCAAATTCTGGCATCAGCATGTCACAGCCAATTCAAATTTAACCTTGACAAGTTAAAATCTATTACCATTGTATATAAATGAGAGAGGCAAAATTACTGCAAAGAGCTAAAAAAAAAATATGCATTCTTATGTAATCTATCTGAAAATCTAAAATAAAACCGGCTAGAAAAACAGAATCTGATACTCAGTAAATAGATGGTTAGTCCTAGTGGGACAACTAGAAACCCATACTTGAATATTGTATCATGTCATGGTTATTTGCTAAAGCCAATTCTTCACTTGTACATTTGTTAGTTTAAAAAAAAAAGAAAAAGCATTTTGAGGATATATTGCATAAGCAATACTAGTACCCTACCAAGATGTGTATTCTGGTTCCCTTTAAAAATTACAAAGGCAGAGATCATTGATTCAGAAGTGGAACATAATTCAGATTGACAGAATCAGAATAATCAATTACTTGTTGATTAAAACTACCAAATAATCAATTAATGAAACATGCTCATTTTGATATCCCTATATTACAAACAAACCCTGATTCTACACACATTAAAATATTCTTTGATTATTCATTTTACACAAAAATCAATGGAATCAACAAATCATATGAACATTTCAGAAATAAATGAACTTTAAGCGTGTGCAACTCCAAAAAATGAAAATGATTTTCAATGTGCTCTAATGCATGCAATTATCGACCTCACAAATTCACGACTACTCGTGAATTGCAATGGAACATTTAAAGCAATGAAAAGCTTTAAAAGACAGAAGATAAAAAGAGAGGCAATTTGGAGGTACATAGGATTGGTCCAATGTAAAATGTTTTATCTAATGTGCATTACCTGTAACTAAATAAATACATCATCAGAAACGGGGACTCTCACAATTCTCAAAAGAGCAAGGCATGACACTAGTTATTGTCATAAGTCAGCTACGTTATGTAACACCTCAATTGTGAAGAAAATGGAACTGATCGACAGATAGTAAACATTGGTGATTAATTTAACAATTAAAGGTATGTTAACCACTTAATACATAATTGTAATAAGTTTAACTCATTTGCAAAGTTGTTCAATATTATGTCTAGCAGTTGCTAGTTATCTGACAAACTGTAAAAATTGCACAGCGTCTATATCACACATATTCCCCTGCACTCTCATTATAAATGATATATTTGTGAATTCATTACAAGTATATTACAACGTTCCTTTCCCCCTCAATTTGACCTTTCCTACAGAGGCAAATTTTCATTGGTCTTTGACCTTTAAATTTACAATACACATACTACTGATATACAATGAGGTCTTGGCCTTTATCCTGATGAAACATGGGTCACAGTCTCTAAAAGTTATGATGATGGTTAACAAAAGAGATGGACAAAAAGATCCCATACCCCTGCCTTCAATCACTGGCATCAGAAGAAAATCTCTCAATATTAAAAATAAATATCTGTATATTGTAATTTTCACATTGCATGAGTTAATGTGAAGATATATCATACTTAATCCCTATCGAACAATTTATGACAAGGTATAAATACCATGTGGTTCATTTTCGGGTGCACATTTGAGGCACTGAAGCTATGTTAGTATAATAAAGGAAGTAATTTAAAAGTATTTGTATCGACCCGCATCCTAAGGACGTACACCTTAGAGATTCTGTTTGACCTAGTTAAAAATGCTTATAGATAAAGAAGTAAACCTCTCACAGATCATTTAACAAGCTTCAGCTTGTCTGTTTACTATCTGCAGTGATAGTCAATGGAGAGATATAGGTAAGTGAGCTATCAGATTCCAGAAGGACACTCAAGCATGTCTTGACAATAAATCATTCAGACCATTTAAATCCAATAGTGATATGTTCTCAGAAAAAAAAATGAAATATATATAGATAAAAAGGGACCACCTGAATTACTTCCTAAACTGTTCTGGATCTTGTTGCACTGACAGGTATTTTCTTTTTTTTAAAAAACGATCAACTTGTGGTTTAATATTACCAGTTCTTTTGGGTGTTAATCAGATGGCAATAATTTATTTTCTTTAGGTAAATTTACAAATTACTTGATGTCTTCATCAGGTAACAATTATATTTTTCAGGTAAAATTACAGATTACTCCATGGCTTCATCAACATTTTGTGATCACTGTACGGAGAAGGAGGTACAACTTCACTGCATTAGCTGTGAACATAAATTATGCAAAGAGTGTGTGGGAAGCCACTCTATGACTGAATCAACCCATGCCCATAAAATTGTGAAGTATGCTGAAAGACATGCACACATTCCTCATCCATTTTGTTTGACCCACTCCAAGAGCCACTGTGACGAATTCTGCAAAGACTGCGATATCCCTATCTGCTCCGAATGTCAAACCGGGGCTCATGAAAAGCATGCAACAGAGGAGCTTCCAAAATTATTTCATTCCAAGAAAACAGAAATTCTTGAAGATACCCATGCTCTTGAGGAATCTCTCATTCCAAAATACATACAAGAAGAAATGGTCACAAAATCTAAAACAGCCAATCTTACCTTCAGCTATACAGCTATGGAAAAACAAGCAGAAAGTTTCAAGAGGAAATGGCTAGAGGAGGCACACAAAGTGTTCACTAGACTTGCCAGAGAAATGCATGCCTTCAAGGAGGAAGACATGGCACCACTGTACTGCCATGAAGACAAAATCAAGACAGGGCTTCTAGAAATGCGTAAAACCATGGAAAAGAACCGAGGAATCCTGAAGACAGGTAAAGTTTCAGAGATAATGGGCTACACATCAAGTCTGGGCAAATTTCAAGAGCTGCCTCATCTGGATTTAGAGCCAAGTCTCCCAACATTCCTTTCAAGTTCTGCAAAAGAAAATGTCTATCAAGTTCAGCTGGACGACCTTCGGGCATTTCTCGTACCAGCCACATATCTTCCATCATTCCAACTTTCCCCCATTTCTAGAAAAGTATTGGTTGACCAAGTTGTTGTGATTGCAACTGTGAAAACCCCTTACCACACTATCAGAGATTTAGCCTGTGCAGGGTTTAACAAAATCTGGGTAAATGCCATGGGTGATGATGAAGATACTGCAGTATCACTGTTGGACATTTGTGGTGATAAACTTGAAACTGTAACTGTTGGTTCTTTTTGCAATGGTCTTACTATGGACCCCCATGAAAGATTACTCTACTCCGAGTTCAACAACGTGATGGCTTTTCAAAATGGGGAGGTTGATACTTTACTTGAAATGCCTGAAGGATGGGAGGCCATGGGTGTGTTCTGCTCAAAAACAGGAAATCTATTTGTCTGTCTGATAAATCAACAAAATAAAGAACACAAAGTCCTAGTATACAAGGACAAAACAATAAGCAAGGAATTTCAGTTTGATGAAAATGGCAAGAATCTCTATAAGAAAGGAGATTACATGCTTTTTCCAAGGGAAAACATCAATGGAGATGTCGTGGTTGTTGACCACAACAGCAATTCAGTTACGGCGGTAAGTCGTGAAGGCAAACTCAGGTTCAGATACGATGGAAAAGCGGCAAAGCTTGAAAAGCCTCTCAACACCAATGACATAGTCACTGATTCCATGGGTCACATTATTCTGGCAGATGAGGCCAATGACTCCCTTCACATCATCAACCAGAATGGTCAATTTCTGAAGTGCCTGAAGATTCCCGGTCTGACCAAACCTACTGGACTTAGTCTGGACACTAGAGAGCGCCTCTGGGTGGGTTCTCAGAACAACGGTGATATTAAAGTCATTCAATACACAAAGTATACTTCGTAATGACTCCAGACCTGCTTTCTGAACCAGGAGGGTTGCATAATAACAATACTTTTCTATATTTATCTCTGTTTTGTAATTCCACCAAGTGGACAAAAGAACTATTGCATACTCAAGAATTTTTGCATACCTTGTGTTACATAATACCTTACCTTTAAATGTATTGAAAATACATATACCAGAAACTGAAATTATGTCAGTCATAAATCAAAATAATTTTATGTCTATGATCTTGTCTCTATATACAGCTAAAGTTTGTTTTTGTATGTTCTACATATCAGGTTTCTCATTAAATCAGGTGTATTGTATGCTTTTTCATATTGTACAGCAAAGTTGTAAGATGGTGCTGTATTCTCAGAAAGAATGGGACAATTAAACGAAAATGTCATGCTTTATTGGGAATCAATATTAATTTTGGCGCTTTTGGCACAGCCTTTATGAGGGAAATTGAAAATTTCTGAACATTGCAGGATAAAATATGAAGAATTTAATGGAAATTCAATTTTTTAATACCGCTAAAAAAAAACAAAAAAACAAAATGCGTTTGTGAAACACTGATATTCCCTGTATGACAGCTATGGCCAAGTTTAAACATTCTCAAATGCAAGTCAAACTCCAAGGTCAAAGTCAAGAATGTTAGTACCCAAAGAAAGGTCTTGCCACCAGGAATAATCATGTGAAATATGAAAGCCCAAGGTTAAAGTTTTTCAAAAGTAGGTCAAACTTAAAGGTCAAAATGTCACAAATGTTGGTATCCAAGACAAGGTCTTGTCACAAGGAATACACATGTGAAATATGAAAGCCATAGCACCAACCATTCAAAAGTTATGGCCAAGGTTAATTTTGCAAAAGTAGGTCAAATTCCAAAGTCAAGAATGTTGGTACCCAAGAGAAAGTCTTTTTAGTTTTGTAAAAGTGGGTTAAACTCTAAGGTCAAAAGGTCAAATATGTACATGTATTACCAAAGAAGAAATACACGTGTGAAATATAAAAAGCCCTAGTTCAACCAACAAAAATGGGCAAACAGGGCTTTCAATTCCATCCTCTTGAAATGGATAAATTCACCTCTTCAATTCAAAATTATTGAAAGCCCTGGGCAAGTTTAAAGTTTTTGCGGGCAAACAGTCAAACAGACAGACTGATTGACCAAAAACTATATGCCCCCAAATCTTTGATTACAGGGGCATAAAAATCAGGGAAATATGTTGTAGATGTGACAGGTTACTTCTCTTGTAATGTATATGACTGCTAAAATATTACCATTGTACTGTATGAACAATACACTAGAAAACAACCCTTTTGACCTCAAGATATCTTTAGGATTAGGGCTGAAAAAAAAAGGTTTCTTTGAAGAGCTCAAAAAGCACAGAGCTACATCCAGACTACAACATTGGTATAGTAATTTTAAAATTATCGCCCCCACAAAGTTAGGTGATATAACGTTATTGCTAGACCTAAATTTTGTCCATGAATGTTCTCGCACTCGCAGATGGCTAAGAGAATCTTAATGAGACTTTATAGAAATGACCATCACCAATTTAGATGTGCTATTTATAAATGAAATTTTCAAAATGGCCACCATTTCAATAAACTAAGAAATATGCATTTTTTTATTTCATTTTTTTTTTAGTATCTATTTTGCCAAAATTTTTAATTTGAAACTTTAAAAGATTATTTTTTGCAACCTTAACCCAGCTCTGACAATTTTTTTACAAAAAATGTTTTAGTGAGTTGGTCAAGTATCCACATATAATCAAGTTTTCCTCAACCATCATGGAAATAAACAATTATCCTCTGCAACACAAATCCAATGAATCAAAGTTTACTTTCTGGTTTCAATGTACATGTATGATCTCTTAAAAAAGAATGAAATGAAGAAATGCTTTTGTACTTACCGACGACCCTTTTGCACCAGACTGTACCATCAGCTGAAGGTTGTTTGCTGGGAAAAGCTTCTCCAGGCCCTTTGGCATGCAGGCACTGTTAAGTAAACAATACAAAATTATTACACCAACATTGTAAACATGGTAAAAAAACTACACAACAGTCTATGCTAGCATCTAATAAGCCAACTTTGATGAAGACACTGCACTTCAATACAGGTATAAACAACTAAATTAAGCAGCTCAAAAAAGAAAAAAGATCAGTTCAATCCAAAATCCTGTAAACTTACCCCACAATAGCATTCTGTGTGTTGTCAGTTTTGCCTTTCATACAGAGGTCCAGCTCCCTCAATCTTCTGTCATTCTTGTCAAACTGAGCATCCATCATGGCTTCCCTGATTGTCTCCTCGTCCTGTCCCTCATCCAGTCCCAGGGCCTGGGTCGCGACCTCTGGTCCGCATTTCCCCGACTTTTGTATTGCTTTCTTTCTCTTTTGGTTGGCCTATGTACACATGATTTATGAATTCAAGTTTTTGCTGTGTTGCAAAGTTTGACAAAAAAATGTCATTTGAGTGATTAGCCCTTCTCCCAATTTTTAAAAATATACTACTAGTATTCAAGGTGTAAGACTTACACTTGATTTTTACCCTTTCATTATAATACAAATTGTAGAAAGTAAATAAAACTCACTTTACGTGTGACCAAGATGTCTTCCACTCCCAATGAAAAACTCCTATGTTGCTGCAAGAAATTCATGAAGAGTCTTCCGAGACAGGATAGCAGGCTCCCTGCCACCTCTCCCCCATAAAGCTACAACATGAATGGTCAAAATATGAAAGCTATAAGTGCAAATAAAAATTGAGTATATCACTGAAGCTGCATGGATAGTAGTCTGAATTGGAATCACTGTATGTACATATATGTTAATTAACAAAAATATATACTGTAGTTCACTAAATTTTTACAACACCTTATGAGACAGATATTTTGTTCTTAAAGGTAAAACAAAATTTTCATGAATTTTGGGTATTGTTGTATAATCAAAACTATTTAAAATATATGTGAGAATGAAATTTTTGTGAGTAGCTGTCTCGCTAAATTACACAAAAATTAAATTCTAATGAATAAAAGTGATTTACAGTATACATGTATCTATGAATACAAACAGAACCAATTTTAAATAAATGTAGGAGAAATTTCATGTCAGAATTTTTCTGACTCTTTTATTCTAGTAAAATACTGACCTCATAACAACAATGGACCAGTCCATAGGGAGTGTTGCCATAGTGACCCTTGTCAAGGACACCACAGAGCAGCTCTGAACCTCTGATGATCACATGACTCTCTCCCATGTTATCAATGCTCTGGTGTCGCTGTCGATGATGTATCCAACTCTACAAAGCCTAGCCATGTCAGTAATATTGCAAAATACAAAAATTATATCTATGTCAAACTGAATAAATATAATATTTTTTTTTTAATTCTATTTTAAAGAAATTAAATACATGTGTTGACCTTAATCAGTCAATACTAGCACTGAATTCTACTATTTGCATTTAATTTCAATAACTGTTTCCAAAATGATTAAGAAAAGACAATAGTTTTAAATTCATATTCAAATCATTTTTTTTTTATAAAAGTGTATTCTACCCATCAAATAGGGATAAAAAACTAATGTTACCTTTTCAGGTATTTTAGATTTCCCTGTCAGGTTGAGCTTTTCTCTGTGTTTTGGAATAATGTTGTGAAGTAGAGTTGATAAAACCTAACATATAAAAGAGAAAATAAAACTTGTGCAATATATACATTTTCCTTTCAATACATTGCACTGTTACAGTAGTTTCTGTCTGATCAAATTTTTTTTTCATTTTTTCATTAATATAACAAAATTCATAATGAGAAGAATGTAGAAAAGAAATGTGCCTGACTACTAACCTGTTTTCCAGACCAGAGAGGACATGGTTTGATCATGGATGGTGGTAATAACTTGATCGACCCTCGCTTGTCTACCAATGCCATATACACTAGTTGGCAGTACTCATTTCTAAATTTAGAGCATTGTTTCATACAAGTACACATAATAAAACAGATCTCCCTAACCAATAAATTTCAACTTTGAAAAAGCACTGTCAATAAATCTTTCCTGACATAAACTAAGAATATCAATATACAGTGAAAACTGTCTATTCTGACACCTGTGCAATTTGTTTCAACATGGAATCCAACCCTTATTTAAATTCCAATTTTACTGTTTTGTATGTTCTTCACTTTGTGCAATCTGACCCCCTGTCTATTCCAACACAAATTTTGTCTCCCCGTGCTTGCTGGATTAGACAGATTTCACTGAACAATTACAGGTAATTAAATGCTGTAGAATTTTTTAAACTCACCTGTTGAAGAACCTCCCCCTAATGGTTAGAGACACACCTGAGACCATGTGATCCTGGATCAACCCAGCCAGAGGAGTTCCATCCTTTGGGACCAGATACTGATAGTCTGTGCAGGCTGGAAAAAAGAAATTGCAATTAGAAATTTGAAGCCTAAAAATGTCATCCTCAATAACACTAGAAACCTTACTTTTCCCTGTCTCACTGTTTAATACTTTTAATTTCCTCTAAATACCTGAATTACAGACACTCTACAACATTTTTTTTTAAAAACCAACTTGGACAGTTATCATATATATAGCAGCTTTACAAATATGGAAAATATTTCACCAATTGTATAAGCCTCTGCCCTCCCGAGTTGAGTTTGTGGAAAGTGGGCATTCATCTCATCTCCATCAAAGTCTGCATTGTAAGCCTTACAGTTGGCATAGTGTAAACGCAGAGTCTTCTCCCCTGGCAGAACTCTTGCCTAAAAAAGAGAGAAACAATATGTTTTTGTGAAACACCATTCCCCCTATGGTAACACAATTCTGGAGTGGGACGTAGACTACAGTGCAATAGTTATGGCCAAAGTTAAAGTTTTTCAAATGTAGGTCAAAGGTCACCGTTGAGGTCACATGATCAAAAATTTCTGTACCAATGGAAAGGTCTTGTCATAATGAACACTCATGTCAAATATTAAAGCCTTACCCTTGACAGTGCAATAGTTATGGGCTAGGTTAAAGTTGACAACAGACAGACAAACAGACAGACAGGACAAAAACAATATACCCCTGGGATCTTTCGATCCAGGGGCATAAAATTGTCCCCTTTCAATTTCAGAGAAATTGATTGTTATGTTGTTGTTGTATTGTTTTCACATAATAATCATTATAAGTAGTATTTCATTGTCTCTCAGAAGTCTCTTACTTTATGGGCCTGTATACTGGGTCTATGAAGAGTGGGCTGTCTATTTATTAGCAGTACATCTCCATTCCATAAATGGCGGTGGACCTTAAAAGTGAATGCTGACATTTAGCTGCAAGTTTAACATACAAAAAAAAGTTACAAGAATAATTCAAACATTATTAACTTACCACTTTACAGCCATTTTGCTGCTGGGGATCAGTTAACGGAGTCAACAGTTGCTTAGCAATAGCCTCTCTTTGAACTTTCTCTTTATGATTTAAAATCATTTTGCTTCCATCAGGCATTTCTATCAACGAGGCCCTGTTAAATATAAAGTAAAATACAGGTAAACTTCGATATCTCGAACTTGGCGGGACTGAGAAAAAACTTCGAGATATCCGAGTGTTAGAGATATCGAAGTTGATGAATTTGGTACCGATATTTTTATGTTACATGTTCTATTAACAGGAAATTACCCCCCCCCCCCCCTCCACCACGTGCATAATTTAAGCGGTAAACGTTTCAGTTCATATTTAGTGATATCTTTTTAAAAATGCATTTACATATACACTTATATTGCATATATTATTTTATTTAATACTGCAACACTTACATTTAATTTTTACAAATTTAGATCGCTTTCAATAGCGATAATCATGCTGGTTTCAGGATTTCTTATACCCGGATATATGTTACGCTTTGTAAATGATAAACTGATCACTGTAGTAAGGATTAAGACGGAAAAAGGAAGAATCGTTCTACAATAATTTATTGAAATTGCCAATATGCATAAACAAAAGCAAACTTTGTTTCGATTGTATGAACTTTAAGTTTTCTTTTTTACACCACGGTCAGATAATCTAGCCATGAAACCTGTGCTAGACCTAACAGAAACATTCAACAGACCGTAAAATTAGCATAATGGGATTATTGTGTACTAAGGTGTGAATTCAGCGGAGCGAGAAATTTGTTGGACTTCGAGATAACGCAGGTGTTTATAGCACTTGGGACCTTAAATCTAGTTCGAGATAAGCGAGGTATTTGAGATTTCTGTGTTCGAGATACCGTTTTTTTTAAAATCATAATATAATAAAAACGGCCGGAACCGATGATTCACTTCAAGATATCCGTGGTATTCGACATATCGGTGTTCGAGATACTGAAGTTTACCTGTAGCAGAAAAAGGAATATAGTTATTTATTACATTTTCAACAGTGAAATACTGTGATTCATTTATTGAATAAAAGTGATATTCTCTCACAGTGTGAAAGGATACCAAAATGATATTCTCTCACAGTGTGAAAGGATATCAAAGTAAGTAAAATATAATTTCTGGATTGTCATAAGATAGAGATAGTAACTTGATAGAGCTAAAACTGCAAATTTCTTCCCAACTATGTTGCTAAAAGCCATGCTACGTAATGTTTTCAATCTCAGAACTGCTAATCTGTGACGTCTCAACCGCTCAACTATGACGTCAAGCCTATGACACTTTGTTAAGAAAAGACAGAGGCAAAGGGAAAATCAAAGAAAATGTAATAAACAGAAAATTCAATGTTTTGTATATGAATATGGAATTTAATTCACTCGTGAGACAGGATTTTTGATATTTTCACTCGTGCTTCGCACTCGTGAAAATATCAAAAAATCCTTTCCCACTCGTGAAATAAATTCCATATTCATCTACAAAACATTGAATATCCTCTATATATTTTTTGCACTGAACAGGAATGATACTGTATAGAGAGAAAATAACTTGTGGCATTTAATATCCCTTTATTTCCATTTCTATGTAGCCATGATTTAATGTAAACTGTAGATTTCTAAATACATGTATATGCAAGGAATTTAAAATTATACATTTTGGGAAAAACACCACTCAGATATAAGACGACTTGCTTTCATTTTTGTTTCACTGAAATACATGTAAAAACTCTTGACCGTCAGTCCACCATGTACTCAAGATTTGATGTCTATAAATCATTTCATGATGTAAATATTAAGGAATCTACAGTAACTGAAACAGTATCATGAATTCATACCCTGGGTAGCAGTTGGGGCCATTAATGACAGCTTGTCGTAACTCGTGAACATTCCATGGAGTGACTGGTTGTGGAAATGTCAGCTTTTTGGCAAAAACTTCAGGAATTCCTATTTCATTTGTACTAATACAGGGATCAGGTGATATCACAGAACGTGCAGCAAAGTTCACTCTCTTCCCCATCATATTCTTCCTGAACAACCCTTCTTTCTTCTCTAATATCTAATGGAAAATTCTTGTTAGCAAACCAACCCACTTAACCATTTACACCAATGCCTATAACTGATAATGAATTTCATTGGTTCACAACTGTAGTTTAAAGTTCACTTTGGGAGCAATGCAACTTTTAAGCTGATTTCCTGCAACTTGATGGCTACATTCAATACTAACCTGTTTTACTCCTATAAGTTTGTCTTGGGCCAGTTTGTCTGCATCTCCATCTAAAATACAATTGACCATTGTCTGGAGTTTGACCCAGGCATTCTGTAACTTCTCGTTCAAAGTGTCTCCCGGGACCTCTGTTATGATTGTCTGTCAAAGGTAAAGTCTTACTCAGTTGTACAACACGCTATGAATTAAACTGGCTTAGAAACAATTTGTCCCATTAGTTCACTGATTCTTTTTTCAAGCTTTAAGTAATTTAATTTTTATAATTTGTCACTTTTAGAGAATTCTCCATATACATCTCTCCTTTTTCAATATGGATCTCAATGATGAATACAAATAAAACAAAGAAAGATAATTTACCAGGTAGCCACATGTACAACAAATCCCCTTTGTCAAATAGAGGTCTCAATACTGAGTACAAATAAAAGGATGAAAAAGAAACATTTTCCTTCATATGTATAAAGCCAAAATTATTTAGATATGTGTACTATCTCTGTTCTTACTGGTTCTTTAACATGAGTACTATCTCTAATCTTACTGGTTCTTTAACATGAGTACTATCTCTAATCTTACTGGTTCTGTAAAAAACATGAGTACTATCTCTGTTCTTACTGGCTCAATTTCTGTCATTTCCTTTCCTTCGTCCTCCACTAATTTCAAGGACAAAATTTGACGAATTAAAGCTGAACCTTTTAAAACATTGCATAAGTTCATGGTCTGCGGATTCTCAAATTTCTTGTCTTTCAGTGAAGATACCTGGAGGAAAAGAATTTTTTTTTAACTGATATATATATATATATATATATATATATATATATATATATATATATATATATATATATATATATATGCAATCAGAATTTAAAATTGACTTGTAAAAACCCATCCAAAGCCTTAAACCTGAAAGACTTATTCACTAAACTTAGTGTCATCAAACATTTCAAAGCATCCCTCAATAAATATTACCAAAATGGAAGGCATAGTCTCATTTACAAAATAATTAATCAGTGTTTTGGTTAATCAGAAAAGCACAGGTCATAAGTAGGATCCCTACTTACATCTTCACTGTGAGAAATATTTCTTCAGATGCAAAAACAAATAATCACCATATTAGTTTAGAATTGACAAATCCTGAATAAAAGTTTTCACGAATAATACTTGGTTTATAGTACAGGAAAGCCTTCCCTAATTCTTTGAGATCAGACATGAACAAAGACTTAAAAATATATACATACTATATACAGGGAAATTTTCGCCCTCGTCGGAAGTGGGCGAATTTAAAAAGGGGCAAATTCAAAGTAAGCTGTATCAGATCTTAAACAAAACTGTCTCTGGGCGAATTTAAAACAGGGCAAAATTGTTTGCAAATGTGAAAGGCGAAAATAACATGGGGCGAAAATAACCCTGTATACAGTACTATCCCAACAAAGCAAAGTTTCTTACTGGTCTAAATCTGGAAGGTGGCACTGGGATAATTTCAATGAAGAATGCATCTGTTGGATAATCAGCCCCTGAATTGGACAGGAAGTTAAATAAACACACGAGGACCTGCCCATCCTTCTGCCACACCTGTCTGAGGTGGTCCCTGACATCAGCTGAGGTCACGTACACCTGTTTACCTGAGACCAAATCCTCCTCATCACCCTCCTCCTCTTCATCATCTTCTGTCTGTGTTACCTTTTTGGGCCCAGAAGATTTTCTGAAAGATGACAGTGATTATAAGTACTTTCAGGTCTGCAAACATTTAATGTTACTTTACATAAACAAGACAAGTTTGTTAAACCCAAATGCCCTGAGAGTGTCCATTTCTAATGAAACACAATGAATTGAAGGAGTTTTAACAAAATTACAAAATAATAACAAGTAAGTTTCAAAGTGGATAGGCCTAGTGCATTAGTGGCTGGTCAGTTTCCTTTATACCTAGCAGAAACATGCAACATATGTCTTACATTAAATCTTTGAATGTACCTACCTCATTGTAATGTTCTGTGGTTTAGAAGTCATTAGAAAGGTTAAAGTTCATGACAGAAATACAGAATGACAGATTTTTAGACAGGACAAAAACAAATATCTTCCCCCCTTTTGATCTTGGGGCATATAAAAATGTTCCAATAAAAGATAATAAAAAGGATCAGCCATTTGAACTGCTAAGTTATTATAGGTCCTATAAAATACTCACTTTGTCTTATTTGGGATGATGGTAGACAGCATAATCTTGGCATTCTGCGTTTTCCTTAGAGGCAGTCTTTTGGCTTTACAGTGGACGCACTTGCCTTTCACTGTAAAATATTCCTTGATAAACTCTTTTCTTGCAGCATTCTTGCAAGCCTCTACATTCTTCACGTTGTTGTCTTGCTTTGTTGTACCTGTTCAAATACATTTTAGGGGGAACAATTCTATATGGATGACACTGAAAAATCATATAAAACTTAACTAGATCCCCTTTAAGAAAACTTACTATTGATTTTGTTTAGCACCATTTCATTCAGCAATTCCAATATTTTCTCCTCCGCAGAAACATCATATTCTGAGATGAGATGTGTTATGTATTCATCAACATCTGCCACTTCTGACAGAAGTCCATGTTCCAAAAGACGAAACTTCTGAACCAGTACAGAAGACTTTAAAGAATGGACTGTTAGTCTGTGACACTCAAAGCAAGTTCCTTTCAAAACCTGAGAAATTCAATTATATGTATGTAAACAACAGAGACAAATGTAATGGAAGAAACAAAATATACGATCATACATGTGTAGATATCTTATACCCCTTACCTGATACAAAACATTGAAGAAGACTGGGTTGTACATGGGTAAAGGTAAAGTGATGTGACCCATGTGTCCTGGACATTTCGCCTGTCCCAGACCACAAGTTTGACATCTTTCATCTCGATCAGTAGGACCTATATACATTAAGTGTCATCAATATAACCCAGTTTAATATACCAAATCAAAATACAAGAAGAATTTACTCAAATATTTGATTTTAAAAAAAATTGTTATTTATAAATCAGATTTTTTTTATCATAAAATAAGAACTTATTATGACTGGCATATGTTATAAACATAAATGGATCTAAACAGAATGCAAATTAAGAACACTGATATTGCTTGTATATAAATTAGGGATGTCAAATCGGTCAATTTTTGATAATCGGTTACTCGGACATTTTCCGATCGAGTACCCGGGTGCTCGGTAAAAATGAAAATACAAGACAGTGTGTTAATTTTCTTGAGCCCGGTAAAGCTCTGTTAAATCCAAAAGCTGTTTTATCACGTTTATAAATGTATATGAACAACTGAGTCAAAGGGAAATGATTTTTTGGTACCAAATTTATTTATCAAATAAACTCAAAAGACACAATTAATACATAAAAAAAAATAAAAATGGTTTACAGTTCTTGTTTAGGACCTATTTCGTCAACGCAAAAGGACAATCTGTTAGGCAGTTTTGTGATGTTAGACAAACGAAAGAGAAGGAAAAGACGTTGTTGGGATCGCTAATCTAATTATTTCATATTTGGTTGTTTCCCACTAAACCTACTACGCAAACTGACTTTCAATTTTTTTAAAAATCTTTAGTTATTTCTAAATATTTCTTCACTTTTGAAGTGGGTAGCGGTATTTTTATGCATGTCCGATTTCGCTACCGTATATTAATTAAATAATTTAAAAACGATTTGACTATAATAGACCATACTTAAATGATGTTTACTGAAAACAATCATTGAAGCCATCCAAAAATTAAGGACCACAATAGGTGAGAACTGCTGTGTACCAGGTGATTGGTCACTAATTACTGTATATACACAGCCACAGGTGATAACGGGTGTTTTACAGGTGTAGATGACGACACGCTAATTACCGTATGAATATTTAAGTAATTGTTTGATAAGTTTTTGATAAAAATATGTACTTTGAAATAAGAAAAAAATACACTTCCGAGTAACCGAGTACCATTTTTAGTATTCGATACTCGGACGTTCGATCGAGTACCCGGTTAAGTACCCGGTTAACCGGGTACTCATTGACATCCCTAATATAAATACATATTTATCATCAGGACATACCCCTCTAATTAATAACATTACCTAGCTTTGGATCATACAAGCCTCCTGAAGTCGGATGGAGAAGGCTGTCAAATGTCTGAGGATTAGTGATTTCCTTAACACTGAGTTCCAAAATATCATTAGAGTTGTAGGAATTAAAACTAACACCTTTCAGGACATGCCTTGGTACATTTGCTTCCATTTTCTACTACATCTACAATGAACATTATTACTTATAAGAACAATTGTTTTTCAATCTGCATCTATCCTTATGGAATTTTAACCAAATTAGAGAGAAATGTTGGGTCAGTACATCAGATTTTATACTAAAATAGCTATTTGTTGATACAAAATATGTCTTTTTCATCCATAAAAAATCAAAATAAAAGAAATTGCACTTATAAACTATTATTTTTACCCATCCCCCCCCCCACCCCCCCACACACACACAAAAGAACCCTATATGTACATGTTCAAACGGGATAGGCAACTCTTGCAAGTCACAGGATTTCCTATGTCAATTTTGATTTATCAATATAAATTATCTCTAAAGTTATCAAATATATCAGAACAAAATCTTCAAAGAATTGTTTTTTAATTGCACTGTAAACATGCCTCAACTTAGTATAGTTACATTGTCAAAATCAAGACATGCCCCTGATTGACCTTATTTCCAAGATTTTCGCTGAATTTTGATTGTTTGCTTATATTTAAATTATTTTCCAATGTTTGCTTTAAAACCAATTCAAAATCCACCCCTGATGAAGAAGAACAGACTATATTTATCAAAACCATTTTTTTTAAAACTTGGAATAAGCATAATTTGGAAATTTTGTTAAAATTGTAGGGCTGTGTGTGATTTTTTTCGGGGGGGGGGGGGGGATAAACATGGTGCTGAAGAAGTTGCATATCCCATTAGTATATCTACACCCAATCTGATTTAGATGGACTGTCAGATGCCATCATTTGCTACATTGCTCTTCACTCCTATTTATCATTAAATACCAATTATGGTTCATCATGCCTCAATTCACTTTAATATATAAAATTTTGCTTTAACATTTAATGATTTCCAAAAAAATCTAATTTATAATTTAAAATGCATACAGTTTTAGCAACTCGGGGGGTGGGGTGACAGCTAGTACTTAATTAATGGTTTTTCAACTTGACAATTGCGTACAGGAATAATAATTACATAGCCCAGAGTAACCTCTCTTATCAGAGGCTCGATATCCCACATACACCTACTATTCAGACAATTTGTTAACTTGTCAGATACTTCCTCGATGTAATTCTCAAAACTTTGCTTACAGAGAGATAAATTTTCTCCATCCAGCTGTCATATGAGCAACAGTTTTAAGTTACAATCACTTGGTTGTGGGCGAAATGTACCTAGGGTAACACATATAAAATCTTTCAAAAGATAGACAGGAATTGGAGAAAGAGATAAAACGTACCGCTACGTGACTGTCAAACGCAAATTTTCTAAAACTTGAGACACTATATATTTATTAATTTAGTCACACGTGCTAGAATAAATCAATCTCATTTCCACTTTCTATATTGAAGTGACTTCATAATTCATTTAAAGCGCAGAAATGATTACGATACATTAATTATACTTTCATTATGTCGTCCTTTTATTAGTCGATTATAGGGAACAAAGAGCTGTCGTGCTCACCTGTTAGTTTGTATGCTCTATTGAACACTGATGTGGTCTGTAGTTTCACACATTTTCAATAAAAGTCAAAGAAGTGGTAATGAATTATAGTTTTATTTTTTTTCTTTATTGAAAAAAAAAAAAAAACAACAACAAAAATAACACACACACACACACACACAAAACAAAACAAAACAAAAAAAAATAAACAAACAAAACAAAACAAAACCCAAACCCAAACAAACGAGTGACCCATGGGCAACAACAATCACCTGGGTCACATAAGGCCTGTTGTTCTTCAGAAAAGATTTTCCACTCTCTACCATCGGCTCATAAATTCACCTCTATCATTTGGCTCATATATATCACAGTGATAAGCATGAGAAATAGTGTGTTTGATTTTAATTCATTATAATTAAATGTCTGCACTAATGTTTGTCCTTTAAGATAGATATTTACTAAATAAAGCAGTTAGGGTAGAGTTTGATGCTCTACCCATTGTTTCAGAATATATAAATCTTGAATTCCTAGCTTCCTCTCTCTCCTTTTCAGCTCGAAGGTTTGAACAATTTTCAATCTGCACTACATTGAAATACAATGCATATCAATATTCAACTAAACATGGCATAGTGGTTCTTGAGATTTTTTACGCCCCCTTAAATAGGTGCTTGGACAGATTTGAAGTTAATATTTACTCAAATTTTCTGTATAATTTCATGACTTATATATTGCTATAGCATTCCATACAAAAATTTGATAAAAATCTTATTTTATCTGGAAGTTATTGAAACTTCGAATTTCTGGACGCGTTTGATAGACACATCCTTGCACTTTCACAAATTTTAACTTTATCCTTATTACTTTAGAAAAGTAGCAATTTTGTTGTTTATTAATGAAAAATATTAAAACTGTTATGCAGAAATTTCAGAGTAGAAATGTAGAAAGCAAAATCCTCTCATCAGTATTGTCAGTCCGTGCTTAGTGGTGTGTGCAGAGTTTAACAATGAACGTAAACATTAACAACAACAGAGCTCGATCGTGCCCTGTGTACAAAAACAGTTTACATTTCACGGGTGTATTCAATTTGTTAAGGACATACGCAAGGTACCTTACCTACTGATAATTTTTGAAGATATTCTTAATGTAAGATTATAGTGCCGTCAGATGTTCGTAGACAAAGAATCAGCATGCATTACCAGGGGTTTTGAAAAGATATCAATTGATGAAAATTCTTGTATAATTCAAAGAAAAATACACAAAAATTACTAAACATATATTCTAGATGTTTTGTTTATCCAAACTTGTTTTAGAAGAAGTGTACAACAGCATATATAGACATAAAAATGTAGCACACAGCTTCTTTAAGTATTGGAACTCTTCAACTCCAGGGAAAAAGACAATAAAGTTCAAACTATGTTGCGTATGTCCTTAAACTCTGTACACAACTATGCAACACTGAGCACGGGCTGACAATACTTAAGTGAGTGGGTTTTGCTTTCGCACATTTTAACTCTGAATTTTCTGGATTATAGATGTAATATTATTCATTAATACACAAAAAAATTGTTACTTTTGTTAAGTATTAAGGATAAAGTTAAAAATTGTGAAAGTGCAAGGATGTGTTAATCAAACGCCTCCCGAAATTCGTAGTTTCAATAATTTCCAGATCTAATAAGTTTTTAATTTTATTTTCGCGTGAAATGCTATTGCAACATATAAGTTTTGATCTTATACAGATAATTTGAGAAAATATAAACTTCAAATCTGTGTCTATGCACCTTTAACCAAAGATTCAGGGGTATATAGTTTTTGCCCTGTCCATCCGTCTGTCTAGCTGTTTGTCCACAAAAATTCAATATTGCCCATTACTTTTGATTGGTTGGAGATATGGCTTTCATATTTCATGTGTATTCCTTGTGACAAGACCTTCCCTTGGGTACCAACATATTTGATCTCTTGACCTTGGAGTTTGACTCACTTTTGCAAAAATTTACCCAACTTTAACCTTGGCCATAACTTTTGAACAGTTGGTGCTAGAGCTCTCATATTTCACGTATATTTTTGTGACCTTTTCAAGGGTGCAAATGTTTTTGACCTTAGAGTCTGACCAACTTTTAAAAAACTTTAACCTTGGCCATAAATTTTGAACAGTTAGTACTATGACTTTCAAATTCCACTGGTGTGTTCCTTGTAACAAGACCTTCCTTGGGATATCAATAATTTTGACCTTTTGATCTTGGGGTTTAACCTACTTTTGAAAAAGGTTAACCTTAGCCAGAAGTTTTGAACAGTTGGTGCTAGGGCATTTATATTTTGCATGTGTATTTCTTATGACAAGGACTTCACCTGCATACCATTAATTTTGGAGTTTGACCCAATTTTAGAAAATATTAACCTTGACCATAACTTTTGAATGGTTGGTACTTGGGCTTTCATATTTACCAGGTATATCCATTGACACATGTCCTGTCTTTGGGTAACATTTTTGATCTCTTGACCTTGGAGTTTGAATTGCATTTGAGAAACTTTAACCTTTGCCATAAGCTGCCATTTGGGGACATCAGTGTTTATTGTTTAACAAAAACATCTTGACGGTTTTTTTTTTTTAATAACATTCTCATGAAAAATTTTGTTTCCATATCCCCCCCCCCCCCATCCCTCGATTCAAACGAACTACTGATTATTAAAATTTACTAAGTAAACTATGATATGACATAAAAAATACAACACTGAAGAATTATTATAATGAATTTATTGATGCACAAAAAATAAAACAAATAAAATAATAATTATATCTACATCAACAATTTGGCAATGAAAAATTTCCACTAACAGATAAAAGCCCTCCCCTTATTAACTAAGCTCCTACTTTCAGAAAGTACCTTGTTAACCAAGAGCAGAAAATTCATTCTTCTTAATATTTTTCTATCAATTTCTTTTCTTTTACAACTTTTAAGCATTTTTAACATTAAAATTATTTAACTCTCACAGAATTATTTTATTTAAAGATTGTAATACTGACATCATATGCCAAAAAAACAAAAATCTTATTTTTCTTATTATTTTCATTTTATATAAAATACTGTTATTAAGATATAGTATCAATAAAGTAACTATATAATTCTTATAAGCACAACATTCAAGTAACTTAATGGTCTACACAAAAAATGAATAATGTCACACCAATACATTCATTCTTAATACATTTGTACAAAGCTTGTGCTATTTAATACTCCTCAAATTTAAAGCAATTAGTTCAAAGATAGATTCTAGTTGGAAATACTTCCCTACATATTTTTTCTCCAATTTGAAGCGTTCCAGCTTTTTCCCATTTTGGCTGTGGCCACCCTTCACTTCACCTCTGATCATGTATATATGAGTACAAGTAGGTAATAATGATTTTCATATTTTCTACCGATGCTACATTTTTACTGCACCAACAATACCTCTAACAGTCCACAACAAATGAGGCTAGTTAGTATATGAATGCTAAATCAAAAAGTTAGATGTTTAAGTTCAAATGTTCTTTATATGTTGAGTGCAAATATCCCTGAACTCTCAAGTATAAAATTAATACATATTATAATAATTATAATAGCTTTGTAGATTGCACAAATGTTAAAACATAACAGAGACCCAAAGTTTGAATTGATGATGTTAAAAATGGCATTTTAAAAAAATGATAATCTTTTCTCCAAAAATAAACTCTGTTTAGTAGTCTTAGTTGTCTCAAATTTAAATAAAGAAATCTTATTTTGAAATATTTCTTAAATATTTCATTCATGGCTAATTTAAAAAAAATGAGCTAATTAAAATGAATAAAAAATGGTTTTAACTTTGTTTAATTAAAAGTAGAACAAGACCCTGTCTTTTCTCTACTCTCCCGTTAGTAAACTAACAGGATTACATTGAGACGAACATGCCTACACATTATCCAGCGTTAAGCCTGGAATGTTAATTTATCACACTAATATTTCAGTATCATCATTTCCATAAATTTGTAGAGAGAGTCTGTCCACTGTTCGCAGGTGCACCCCAGTTCATGGCCCCCTGGTTCCCCATTGGGACCCCCATCATTCCTGTGTTTCCACTTCCCAAACGCATCTGTGCCATTTGTTGCTGCATCTAAATACACAACAATTTATCATTTAAAAAATGCAGTTGAAAAGAGAAATCCTTGTCTACAAATTACCAAATCTATTTATATAAATGCAAAACCATCATTAGGAAAAATTTTGTTTGAGGTACTTGGACAAACATTTTTCAAGGTGGGTAGTTTTTTTCTTTTTTTTAATTATCTAACACTTTGATAATCATCATTAGTATCGCAAACTTAAAATTTATTGAAGTTTTCATTACAATGTATACACAGGCAGCTAGACAGATTTCATATTTATTGCCGTAAAAAAAAATTAACACTAAAAAATGTCTTGGAGAAATGATAAACCTTAACTATAAAAATTATATGTACAATCTGTATTTACTTGGAACCCCCCTCCCCCCCCCCCAAAAAAAATTAAAGTACAAAAAAAATTAACGGGTAGGGGTAATTTTGACGTGTCACTTAAAGTACATCAAACAAATCGTTTTTTAATGTTGGAACAGTTAGATATCAAACTTTGAGCATCATCTACATGTAAGTCAAGAGATTTTATATTTTACATTAGGCAGTACAGGAATGGATAAATTCCTGTAGCTTGTGAGTGATGAATTACAAAAACTGTTAAACACTACATTCACTGTAATTACGTAAGTATACATCTACATGTTAAACTGTATATGCACTGATACTACCATCAGTTACAAGAGGTCCAAGGGCCTTAACAGTCACCTGAGTATAATACAACCCTGTTAGTTATCATAGGTGAATAATCAAAGGGAAATAACTTCTTTTAATGTAGAGTAAAAATTTCCCTACATGTTCAAAAGAGAACTACCCTAACACCAGAACCCCTAACCCAGTGGTCAAGAATTTACAAATCCACTTTTGCTAATTACAACAATGTACTTGATTAGCTTGCTAGATGCCCAAGAGCAGAGAGGAAGATTCTTTAAAAAAAATGCATTTTCAATGTATTATCAATAGAGCCCCACCCTAACACCAGAACCCGTCCAAGGGGCCATGAATTTCAAAACTCAAGTAGAGGCACCCTTGCTAATCATAAACATGCACTTAGTTTGTTTATTAAATACTCAGAAGCAGAGAGGAAAATTTTCAAAGATTTAATGCATTTTCACTATATACATGTAAGTGTTTCATCAATAGAGCCTAGGCTTAGCACCAGAACCCCTAACAAAGGGGCCACAATTTCACAATTTTGGTAGAGGGCTCAATGCTCATTATAATCATGCTAACAGTTTAAGTGCTTGATTTTAAGGAGTAAAGAATAAGATTTTTGAAGATTGCCTTAATTTTGATGGTTTTGGTCCCACCCTTAAAGGCCCAAAGGGGGGGGGGGCAGGGACCATGGAATTCATAATTCTTGTATCCCTTTGCTCGTAGATGTTATATACCAAAATTTGTTGAAATTGGTTTAGCAGTATAGAGAAGCTGAAAATGTTCAAATGGTTATGTATGACAGATGCCTACAACAGATGAAAACAGATTGCAAATGGTCATCCGAATGACTCAGGTTACCTGAAAATGCTATCCAGAACACCATATTAACATTGTGTTTTTCACTTAGTCAATGTCCAAAAATTGCAATGATGCCAAGTTATTTGAAAAATACAAAGAATACCCTTTACCTGTTGGTATTGCATTTGTTGCATCTGTTGCTGGTTCCCATACCCTGTCTGACTAACTGGTGGCATGCCCATCATGTTATACATCCCTTGTTGCTGCAAATGTATTCAATAATTACCTTTATTTTCATGTTTAAAATACATTAAAAATACTAACTTCTATCATAGAATTCATGTACACATTTATTATTTAAAATAATTATACATGTAATTGTGGCATTCAGCTTGGTATAAATATTTTCTTTCTTACTGAATGCTGCACATTATATATAAAAAATCTACCTCTTGAACATGAAATGACCAATAGACAACAGCATACCTGTTGTGGCATATTCATCATGCCCATTTGTTGTTGATACTGCATGTTTGGTGCCATCATACTGTTTGGTGGCATTCCGTACATTCCCATGTTCTGTTGTGGCATGTACATGCCACCTGAAACACAAAAGAGAAAGAACAAATAAGCAAGTTATTGAAAAGGTCTTTTTTAAAAAAGTATTGGATTGCTATGAATGGTAAGAAAAAATATTTTCCTTTTTTAATGATCATGGGTATACTTTTTGAGAAAACATAATTCATAAAAATTTCAGCTATAAGTGTTAAATAACAATTTAGAATGACAAAATCATAAAAGCAAAACTTAAAGTGATTATTCTCTGTGTTTATGAATTGTTATTTACAGTATATTGTAAAACAAGTTTGTACTTTTTAGTTAGGTCTTTTTCCTGGCAAAATAGCATGTATTCCTCAAAGCAAATATTGGTAGATAGTCATGGCTTAAATGAATAGTGAAAGTGTAATGGGCTTAAAAACAGTTATTCCTTTTAATTTAGTTTGCAAGCCTTTCAACATTTCTGTAAAATAAACCACTTTCTAATATACTTACCACTTCTAAGAATGTTCATGTATTGAAACAAAGTGCACTTGTGGTGACAATTCTAATTTTTAACCTTTGAATATTGTGTCAGATCATACACACTTTACCTTCTATACATTTTATGATCAAGTCTTTGATGAAAGTGTAACTCAAAATTATTAATAAAAAATTTATAAAGCTAGAGTTCAATACTTCAAAAGCCATGGTTTTTGAAATTATCGTATAAAAAATTAACATGCATTCATATCTTACATCCACCGAGTAAGAATAAATAAAGAAATGAAAACAAGGCAAATGTATATTATTTGTGTAATAATAAATACATAAAAGCCATGAAAGTTCTACTAGCTGAGACAAAGAGAAGCCATAAGCATGCTTGTTTTCTGTACCTGTCTCATACTGGTACACGTCATAGGGTGGGGCATAGCTACCTGTAAGTGGCACACAATGGTTATAACTGCAAGTACTCAGTGCTAAATATATTTCTGATGGACACAAATAGCACTATAAACATGGGGGGGGGGGGGATATGCAATATATAGTATACTATAGAAAACAAAGCTGCTTTATGGAAGTGCCCCCTCAATAATTAAATCTGATGACCTTTTTTTATTCTTAATTTTTTTTTTTCTTTTTTGCTTGTCAAGGAATTTTTGCTTGGTAGTGCCCATCCAAATTGAAAATGTTCCCCCCCCAAAAAAAAAAACCAAAATTGCTTTCTATAAGTATGATATACATAGAAAAGGATGTGCTTTTAGGTTTAGACTGGCAACACATACATTTACATATAATCCTGAGTGTGGTCGGAAATGACATACAGGTGATATTAGATTAACACCAAAATGGCACGTATCTTTTAACCATAACACGTGAGGCATGTATATTAATACAGTCAGAAAAGTGTCATCAGTGATCTTTTTTCTTCACCAAAATTTTGTTTCATTTCATTGAGTTATTTCCAATTATTGACAAGGTTTTTAATTTAATGCATGGAGTGCCATTGATCATTGGGAAACAAGAATATTTAGTGTGTTGTTTTGAAGGGAAAAGCAGTTCAAATGAAGCCTCAAATGAATGAAATTAATAATCTGGACATTCAACTTTTTTTTTTAATATTTCTATCATTATATAAGAACTTTGACCATGAAATAACCACACTACTAGTAATATTAGCCTTGCCTTGCAACATGCTGTGTTAATCATGATTGCTGGCTTTTTATCTGTCAAGTTAGCAATATTTCTCTAACTTCTCCTCGCATGAAGCTGATATTTTAATAAATAACACTCACCCCTTACTGCAATAATCAATTGTTATTCATATAAGTAGGCAATCACACAGTTAGTGTGCAGATCAAGTTTAGACTATTATCAAGATTATATAGTGAATATATATGATGCAAATGTCCTATTGCATATACATAATGAATCTTAAGTTCATATTAATGCGGTGAAGATTTTTTAAAGGTTAGGTTCATTATAACATATATGTACCTGGCACTCCAAACTGTTGTTGTTGTGGCTGCTGAGATGAGGAACTACCAAACAGAGCCATAATGGAGTCTTTTGTAGATTTGTCCTGAAGTTTCTCTGTAGAGGAGTCTTGGAACAGATTCACATCTGTCTCTCCATTCTTCAAAATATCCAGTGTCTTAATATTGTATTTAAGCTAAATTTTCCTTAACTTATACAACTACATTGTCTATATGTACATGTACAGTCAAACCTCGTTATCTCAAACTTGATGGGACTGATGAAAAGCTTTGAGATATTCAAGTATTTGAGATATCAAGGGTAAAATACTTAAAGAGAAAATGGTTGGGACTTCGAAATCACTTGGACATATCCATGGTATTCGAGATATCAGTGTTCAAGATACCGAGTTCAACTGTACATGAATTTTAAATTCTTGATTTTTTAATATAAATGAATTAACAGGTATGCAATTTAAAAATATTTTTAGGACAAAAACCTCTGTACTGTGTACCTGTTGTGTTGATTGTAGAGGCTGACTAGACTGTGTTGTTACATTGTTCTGGGAGGAGACAGGTGCCCCCATAAAATCCCCCAGTAAGTCCCCAGAACTACTGGATGTATTCTGTTGATTACTAGATACAACAGGTGTGTCTGTAAACACAAAACAACAACATACAAGCTATGCAAAACTAAGCTTCATTCACAGAGTGCACTGGGCTGTACACTTAGAAAGATTCAAGTATCACACAAATCAGACTGACCTAACCCCAGGAGGTCGGTTGAGTTGCTGGATGTTGCTTGACTGGTGATTGGTGCTGGTTCCTTTTTAGGTGAAGAAGTTGCTGAACTTTCCGAGGGTTTCGCTTTTGGAACCTGCTTAAAAGAAATCAAAGTGTACTGGTAATTTGTGTTTATTTTTTTTTAATTAATAACCTATTCTACACAAATTTTAAGTTAAAATTTTAATCCAGAAACATTCTCATTGTAGCATACATGCAGCAAAGTGTGTAAATTGTCATTTTAAGCGTTTCCATGGTCACTAACCGAGGAGAGCTGAACCACTGACTGTTTCTGACGTTTCTTTTTCTCTACTTTTTCATCCTCTAAAAGCTGAAATTATACAATTTCATGATTATATCATGGTAAAATACATGTTACTAAAATTGCAAATTATGAGTTTGAAGTTATACGAATATATTTTATGAAAAAGAGCAAGTTCTACATCTATGTCTAGTAAACTTCCATAAATCTGAAATTACTACTTGTATTGGTATTTTCTGTAACAAAAGAATACTGTTCTAAATGTTAACAATATTACACTAGAGGTCCAAGGGCCCTAAAGCTCACCTGAGTCACCTTGGCCATATTGTTCCCTTTAAAATTGCAATTGCTTCTAATTTCATATACATACATGAATGCATACAATTTACAAAACAAATCAAAGATTTACAAGTAAAATTGAAACTGTCATAAAATGTGTAAGGGGCTTGGTGGGAGAGAAAAACAGACATAAACAACCTTAACTGATTTATAATGAATATCACATAAATTGAACATTTTCAAGTTGAAGCTATTTATACCATATCAAAATGACTAACTGAAGCCCTGCAGTTTTTCCAACACTTTTTCAAAAAGATTTTTTTCCAATTTATTCCTATGTTAAACTTTAATCCCTTATTGCGACCCCATCCTAGCCCCAGGGGCCATGATTTGAACAAATCTGAATTGAGATGTTATCATATTAATAAGAGAAGTTGTGGTCATGTTCGAAAAAGATTTTTTTAAGATTCCCTCTTTAAGTTTTTATCAATTTTGCTCAATGTGTTTCCAAGTGAAACTTTGACCCCCTTTTGATTTGTGGCAAGTTTCATTAAAATTGGCTTATTGTTCCTGTGAAAAAGTCAAAATGTAAAAAATTTACAGCAACATGTAGACAACAGAAAATCTTTGATCAGGAAAATAAAAGGATTTTGGTGTGTTTACAAACCCTTTTATGGCTAGCTGCATGAGTATATAAAAGGAAGCATTATTACCTATAAGTACCTGCTACATCTGCTCATTTACTTAAATAAGTATTCAAATCCCATATCATCTTGTACTTTTTTCCCATAGCAAAATTAGAGTAAAACAGCTGAAAATTTTATCAACCACCACCAAAACATTTTGTTAGTTCCACAACCAGTTCTGAGCTAAAGTGAGTCAAGCCAATCTACAATAAGACTTACCCCATCTGTTTTAAACTACAGTAAAATCAGGAAAAAATGCAAACAACACTCACACACACACACACATATACACAACAATTATAATTCTCAAACCCATTGTGATTTTACTTTTTTTGAAAGTTTACTGAATGCAATGCTTTTTTGAGGAAGGAAGTACAACACGGAAACATACCTGTTTGGGAACGGAACATTTAGGTGGGACCCATTCCCTAGCGATGTACTTCTTCTGTTCATATTTTGCTCTAATAAAGGCTTCCAGAGAGCTTTTACTGAAGTTAATGCATAAATATAATGCTTTTAATGTGTTTTATTTATTTTGCAAAACTATGATGTGCACATTGTTGAATGATCATTGAACTCTAAAAAGCAATTCTTCAAATGTGAGCTACTCTCATGCAGAAAAATAATATTACAATTTTGACTTTAAATATTTTCACAAAAGTTGGTTTTATAGTTAAGATATTTGACATCTTCTTTTGAATGAGATGTTCCCATAATCAAAGTACAAAAAAAAGATACGAGTCTGTCTGAGGACGACGGAAACCGTCTGGAATATTTGCTTCATAGACTGCTCTTCCCCTGCTGTTACCTATTTCCATCATCATCTGACAATACGCAAAAAAGATCATTTAATATTACGGAATTTTTTTCCCCTCATAATTTCATTTAAAGAATTACGTCAATTTTAAAGATTGAAAACATGCAAATTCATTTTTTTTTTTACTGATAAATTTAATTGCGAGTCTATTACATTAAATTTTATTACATCATCTTCATCAGAATAACTCTGTGATTTGTCACTTACAGAAACCTGTTCTGCAGTCCATGTGTCTAGATTCACTGATTTTACTTTTGAAACATGAACTCCTAGATTTCTGTGGATTCCAGCACATCGTATACATAAGAAAATTCCTAAATTCCAAGAGGCCCATCTTGGTCCTAAAAACATAATTCAATACATGTAGTTATGTTCTTCACTGCCAGTAAATTCACATATATCACATACATGTGAGTGTTCTAACACTGGGCGACTGGTATCAAATTAATTGATGATTTTAATTTGCCACTTTCTGAGTGCAGTAAATATGCTTACTGAAAAATCAACATGCTACATGTATAATGTTTTTGACAATCTTATTTGTTTGAGTTCAACTACACCAAAAATATATAATTTTTTTTCATGATCTCTAATCTTTTCTGTCTCTTGGGCAGCATATTATACGTATTATATGCACATATAAAATAAAATGACATCCTGTAAAACAAATTATACCATTCAGGAAAAAAATTATGTTGTCTAGATAAAGACATGAATCACAAAGATTTGCAACTGTTCAATATCTTGCGGTCCTTATTGTTGACTTTTTTCAAATCTCCCACTATTTAAATTACATAATTATTTCAAATTATCAATGGTAAAACCTTCAAATATTATGTTAATGCTTATTTTCATGAATTTCTTTATTTAATGCAGTAACAAACTAAAAACTAAAAATCTGAAATAGCAACAGAAGACCCTGGCTCGGCCATTATCACTGAGATTCATCAACTCACAATTATCGACCTCTTTAATTTGCCTAGTTTGCTTTTAAAAATCAATATATACTTTTAAAGTTTACCAATCATAACCCATCCATAATAATAAACTTTTGATCAAAGTGAACAACAAATAAAAAGTAATTTTTAGGATAATACCATGACCATCATGTTTGTTTTTTAAAAAAAAAAACGACGTATTAATGGTGGAGTTACGAATCTGTTATTTATGTCTTTGGTCTAGATGATGAAATGATCAGGAAAATGATTCTGTCAACTAAAATCTTCGCGTCTTTCAACAATTAACCACCATTTTCCTACCAAGAAACACATCTTTCTGTTATAATTCCCCTCTTATAAATTGAATACCCCAAAGATGCCAATGATTTTTACATCCCCCCCCCAAAAAAAAATAAATAAATAAATTGTGACCCAATTCAATGTACAAATATTATATATTGACGACAGAAAAATATTTACCTTTTTAATCTACTTTCATTTTTCCTTCAATTCACAAATTTTTAAAATGTACAACAGTTCAAATGGTAGAACTATACAAAAATTTAAGATTTAAACTAATATTATAATATTATTGAGTAGAATACCACACAAAGACCACTACACAAGGGAAATATTATGACTCAATAATGTAGTAAGCCGGGTCGTAAAAAACACCTTTAGCGTCACAATCCACACAGTATTTGTTATCTTCGTCTTTCAAAAGATTTGATAACACAGCCTGAAACTTCTCCTGTTGGGCTTTGGCTTTCTCTTTCTCTAAACGAGTCGACATTCTCCACCAGACAAGACTACTTTGACTCAAAAATAATGATGACAACAAACAGGAAGTCAACAAAGGAAGATAACTCATAATTTACTTTGCAACCAAAAAATTCTTTAAAAAGAATCGGAAAACGCTCTTAAAAACATATGTATAAATAAGTATAAATATATAATTTTTTTATTTAACAATTCTATATCCGTCTGTGTCTAACTATTCGATCATAATTCCCGTAGAAAAGACTTGCCAAGGGAAATAATTCAAATACCGGAAGTGGGTGGTTTTGCAATGTGACGCCATATAGCCGTAGCGATTCAAAGTTGGTGGATCCAATACTATTATTGTTATCTTATGTGAACTTTTGATATTGTTCAATGGTACACAAAGACTGAAAGAGAGGACTTGATAATTTCTGTAATTTAAAAATGATTGTAAGCTGTAAAGAGATAACAAAAGTATAAATAAAAATATTTAAGGGGGACCGACCCTCTGATAAGAGAGATAACTTTCCAAGTAAAAAATACGAACACGGCTCATAGTTTTCATTATCAGAGTTTCATTATCGAGACCTTGGGGTAGTCAATTCGATCAATCCTGACATTTGATGGAAACTGTAGCTTCTATTTCCTTTTCAAATTATTTTATTAAGTTTAACAAAAACATTATTAAAAAAAACAAAGCCTTATAAATTGAATAAGTTGTATCTTCTTATGGACCATTTAAATTATAAAAATAGTATAATGTTTCGAGTACCAAATGTAAAAATTACAACTTAAATTGAATTATAAATGTATATTACAGATACGGCTTCATCAGTTTATCGCAGAAAACATACATCTTACAGCACATCGAAAGATATAGATTATGAAGTTATTAATAATAATAATAATAATAATAATATATATATATATATATATATATATATATATATATATATATATATATATATAAAATTATAATAATAATAATAATAATAATATCTGTTTGAATAATGTCAAGCCAAAGGGATCAATGTATGATTTTCAAATATAAAAGTATTTTAACGAAAGGGATACAAAAATAAAATTAAAATGAAACTGTCGTTATTTTTATCTGCAATTAAATGACAGTTTGCACCGGCTAAAAATCCTGCAAACTTAGCTCCTTCCCGAGAGAGAGAGAGAGAGAGAGAGAGAGAGAGAGAGAGAGGGGGTTGATTGAAAAAAGTTTTAATTTGTTCATGACGCTTTAGGCTCAGGTCAGAAAACATGCAAGAGTAGCGAAATTTTCATGAATGAGAGACACTCTGTTTTTTATTTCACTTTCTGTGATTTAACGCATTTATATTTCGGGGACAAGTTCAAAGTTCAAGAGAAAGAGTCAAGTAATTTATTACACAAATGCCCGGGGATAAAGGAGGCAGTACACAGGGGAAAAAAGTGAGATGTTAAACAGCATTAGTTTTTCAGACACAGCGGAAACAGTGATATTATCCTTATATTTATAATGTGGAGTTTATCGGTCACTGTTCTTTTGACACTGCAACGGTCAGTTTGGTCAGCTTATCCTTTCACTTTTTCAGAACGGGAATGCAGGGACCTGTTCCCGGAAAGAATCGGAAAAGATTCATTAACTGCTGGTAGTAACGATCATCATGATGAACCCTTTACGATTGAACCGTCTGAAACCATACATGGATTTAACTTCGGAAGCACTCAAGGTCTGACTTTTTTTTTTCTCTCCAGCATTTTTCATCGAGTTAAAAGTTCGACTTTTTATTTTAAAAAAAGCGTTTTTTTTTTTTTTTAATTTTATGACAAGCCACTGCACAATTGAAATCGTACTATAAACATTAAATTTGTCCAATTTTACAAAAAAAATTGCACCAAATTTATTTGTGGAATTCGATTCAAAAAGAAAAGAATGAAAAAAAAAACAACAACATGGATTTGTTTTTTGAATATTGCAAGTTGCTATCTGAAACAATACACAACGTTTTATTTTTTTCCATGTTGTTTTTAGTTCTTGTAAAGGCAAACAGTAAATGGCGAATCCAAGGAATAATAATGCAGGCACGGATAGTCGGCAACTGCAAAAACCCGAAGCAGCAACATCCGGTTGGACATTTTGAGGTCTCCGAGAACCACAAATTCCTGAGGGCAGCGAACTGCTCAGGCAATCCATTTGTAAGTATAGCAAGACGACAACGCGGGTCCCCCGAGACAGGCGAGTCATTTGTATGTCACCACATTATGATAAGCAGAACACTGGGATACAAATTAACAGGGCGCTCTGTCAGAGTAGATTATACACCCCAGGACACACGCAAAAATACTACAGCTTCTTATAATGTTAAACAACATTTATATGTATTATCATTAACTTTCGTTGTGATCTTTGGAGCAGATGATGTCGCTGACAATTACCAATTTAAATGTTTAAAAAATGGAATGTTTGTCTTCGAATGAATGGCATAGTTTATCCCTGCCTGTCCACCACAATTAATTTCAGGCGTTGGAAAGTAAAAGGAAAACAATGATATTAATGCTTTGAAGTAGCTAGGCTACATATTACAAGCCCGGCCAACGAACAAATATAAATAAAGAATGGCGACTAATATACCAGAAGGATATTCCTCGTAATCATTATGCATTTGTTATCTGTATTATTTTGTTATCAGGCCCGTAGGAAGCAGTTTCACTTTGAGGGGGCACAACCATACATTTTCAGTTGAGGGGGCACTATCAACTACCAAAATTCCTTGACAAGCAAAAAAAAAAAAAGGTCATCAGACGTTATTATTGAGGGGGCACAAGCATATAGCACCTATGTTTTCTATAGTATTCTATATATCTGTAAAATTGTAAAATTATTGGGGGGGGGGGGCACGCCCCCCCCCCGTGCCCCCCCCCCCCGGTTCCTACGGCCATGGATATTGTTCATCATTGAAAGTGCTTCTTGACAACGAAGAACTGAATTAACAAGCCCCGCTCTCTAAAGTATGGTTATGATAAAAATAGCGAATAAAATTTTATCGGAAATACTCTAATGTAAAAAAAAGTATTATTTATGGCGACTTTTATTCGCGATTTCTAAGTACATGAATAGTGACAAATACATCCGCAAATATTAATTTTCGTGACTGAAGAAAAAGTACTACATAAAAACACAATTAAAATATTGGTTCGTGGCGAGAAATACTGTATTTATACGAGTATAGAGAAAAGAAGGAAACACGAGAATTTCTTGCACGCGAATAAAAGTTGGTTTACAGTATTCTAGTTTTTATGGGAGATAGGTATTTCAAGAATTCGGGAAGGTTAGATTACACTCAAAGACTGACTCCAGTTTATTTTAAGCCTTTAAAGGCAGAACATCATTCTCCAGGATATACCATGGTATCTCATTCACGAAAATGTACAATGCAAACATAGAAAATTTGTATATATGATTATTTGAATTCCTTGAATATATTGACTCAACAGGGATCGTTCACAAGATTAACATTCTTTTTTTATTTGCTTCCTTTGCAGAAAACTGTTACCCATAGAAAATACCCAATAAATACAGATTCTATTGTCATCCGATGGTTTCCACCAGAAGATGTTAAGGCGGAGGTGTATTTTGTGTAAGCAGTCTTACAAGTTATCTCTGTCGCGAAGATTGAAATAGATTACTTAGATCCGCGCCGAATACCCTCTGCGAAAGAGCACATACGACGCGGATCTAAGAAGTCTGATTTCAATATTAGATTGAATGTAACCTTAATTCTTGCTTGATTTTTGTATATCCACGTGCTAAATATAAAATACAAAAAATCAGAATTTTTTGGAGTAACAATGAATATTTTTTTTCAATAGAAAATCGCTTTAAAGTTCGTGATATTTTTGTTTTAAAATACTTATGGACAACACCTTTCGTTTTCTAGTAGCTTACTTTGCATTTCATTGACAGAGCAACAATTGTGTCAGGGAAAAATGACTTTTGGACGGGTATTGTGAGTCATACCATCAGACACAAGGACAAACCCTTCACCCCCGGGCATCCTCAATGTCCTATGCGCAGCAAGTACACCACCTCTGCAACGCCGCGACCATCGCCCCAGGGAAGCACGGGGAAAATTCTTCACCCAAACATTCTATTGATCTGCACCCTCTTGACCGCCATTCTTTGGACTATGTATCATAACTGACAACTGTGAACTTATTCAAGTTTTTTTATGTACATAAATTTGTAGCATATGTATAAACAGGTTATGCAGAATCTACAAGTATCTAAAGTGTCTGAATATTTAGGAATATCGATCGAGGATACCATACATTTAGGCTGGTACTTGAATAAACCGTAGGCTATCCAGCAATGAGGCTTTACTGGTCACATACTTGTATATATATGTTTTACCTTGCAGATATCGTTAAAACGAAATGGAATATTACACGTCATCTCCTCTGTTGCTGTGTCTATATATATAGTCATTAGTTAGTAAGTTTATAATGTACCATTATCCCCAAAAGATTATCACGTATGATCACATGTATTAAAAGAAACGTCTGAAAGTTTTTCTTTTGATTATTTATTAAATATAGAAATAAAGTAATTCTGAACATTCCATTTGTAGAGGTGCATATACGCTCGTATGCAGCATATCTTCATAGAATATTTATTGGAAATGATGGAAGCCAATGGCATGTCATTCAGCGAAGGCCGAAAAATGTAGCATTAGTTTAAGCATCCATCTTTGTACACATGCACTTAAATAAAGAAACCTGAGCTGAAATTATTTTACTTTGTTGCTGTTCATGTTGTTTAACATGGCTTTGTTCTTTATACATTTCATGCGTATTTTTTTAATGTCCAAACAAAACATTTTTCATCCGTTCATTTCTCCTCTGTCATATATATGTCGGTGTATGTGTTTCATTACACTTTAAGGTATATAAGAAGGGTTAAACCAGTAAGATATGCCTCTGTAAACCAAAAAGCTTTCTACAGAACAAGGCATTCCTAAGGTGAGGTTAATTAATTCATATTCATGTAAATTTCTGTTCACAACGATCGTCATCATTTGTTTTATTGGCGTGATTTATATTTCGATTTCACACGACGGTATTTGTTTGTGAAAGGAGTTCAATACCGAGTTTGAAAATAAGAAGGGACGTTTCAGTTTCGGACCAATTCAGGATAAAGACTCCATTTCGTAAAGCATCTGGTTTTAGTAAGGAATATCATCGCTAAAAAGATTAAAGTAAGTTGAAAGCATTTGTCCTGACCTAATAAATTAATGCAATCAAGCAAGAATATGACAGGAACTTTACAGTTTTTCAGATTTTTCAGGTTGTGTGGAAGCTAAACTTTTTTTTAAAATGAAAACGAAATACACTGTATTTGATATTTAATCTGATATCATGAAATATTCTTTTATTGTGATACATAATTCCTGAAATAAGCAAATTTTGAAAAATTATATCACCATACTGGTTTGTTTTCCTAAAGTTTGGAAAGGTGTGCCTTAACTTCCGTCTAAAACTAAATTATTACTTTGTTGTTGTTCCCTTGAAGAAAATGCTGGTTTGTTACTCATTTACCACTACCTAAATGCATAAAAATCATGTGAAGAAAATTAGTAGAAATCAATTAATAGGAATATTAATATATTAATGTCACTAAGGATAACAAGTAAGATGTTAGGTCATGATGTACTTCAACAACAGAGTCCTTTAAATGATACTCAATACCAGCAATAGATATATGATCTATCACATATTGAATAATTATTGAATACTGTCCTTAATTTGTAGAACTTTTCATTTTCTATTAATTTAGGTGCAAATAACATTGGACTTTCTTTTTAAAATCATATTACTAACATCTTAAAAAAATGCAACATCCTTGAAAATTTTCAGCAAAACCGTTCCTATGACAATGTATTGTGTCGAAAAGTCCCCGTTAAGTAGCGTAGTAGCTAAATTACATTAAATCGTTTTATCAAGTTTCTCAACTTTCTCAATTCTTTTAAAATGAAACGCAGTTATTTTCTTATTCCACGTTAGTTTTGCATTTACCATTTTGCATTAATACACAGATTTAGAGGGAAAATAAAGTCAAACTCAAGTTCAATTCCAGTGTTTCTCTCTCAAAACGTGATACAAAAGAGCATAAAAATAGAAATTTATTCTATTTAGCGATTGAAAAGTTTAGCAAAATAAACATTTGTTCAACTTTGACTAGGTGCTACTGGAGTATTTAGTATAACTTGTCAGAATATACTAGCAATGTAGTCATTGAAACTCAGTGAATACGGATTTCATTGAACTGAAATAAATAAAGTCAGAGAGGTGGCACAAGACAATTATAGCATCTGTACAAATAGTAAAGATAAACAGGAAGGAGGTGTTAAAAGGACATCAGATGAAATTCACGACTGAATTTTCTCTCTCTCGTGTTCGTATATGTTCAGTTCTAATAACATTTTGATTGAATTTATATATTTTCGAATTCTGCAAAGAAAACAAATTCTACCAGTTAACTCATACATCTTTCCTGTTCTTTTGTTAATTCAGAAAATAATCTATTTATCGGACTGTAATTGCGTTTGAAGTTTCAGGTAATGAATTTTTCTTAATTTCATATCATGTAACATTAAAATTTTAAATATCTATAACTATTTAAGCTTCTATTAAGATTTAAACTTTTGATGTAACCATTATATAGGCAAAACATAGAAGTAGAACATTTAGGTGGATTGATGTTTGACCCAAGATTAAGAAGTAAGGTGTCTCACTTTCCTGCACTCTAGTTTTAGTTTAAAAAAATGTTTTGTAAGACATCATGCAGATCAATCAAATCATAAACTTAAATTTTTGGGTGTGTTTGGAATGCAGTCACTTTTCAATCGCTAAATTATCCAAAGAACTTTTCATGCCATCCTCTAAAATGATTTTTTTTACATGGCACTAAAAAAGTAAATAAATAAGGTTTCAGAATTGTCTTTTCATTCAGGAGACCAATGAATTTGGGATCGATAACGACATTTCCTAGCAAACCCTTCAAATGGACTAGTTCATGAAAAATTACCTTAAAAACAACTAGATGCTGTCTTATGACAGTATTACCCCTAACATAAGTGTTTGCCTCTTAATGCACTCTCCTTCATACTCTACATCAAGGTAAATATGAAAGAGCAATAAGAGTCATTCTATAATTTACATATTTATACATGAATCAAATTGAGTATAAAATGTTCAAGTGACCATAAAAAGCATGGGTCTCTTATGTAAGTATTTCTTAAAGTGGATTCATTACTATTCTGAAATTAAGAAATATAATGAATTGTAAATTCTGCACATTATTGTATATCTACATCAAGATACCACCAATCATACCCAAAAATGTAATTTGGCTACTGCTTAAAATATGAGAGGAATTCTGTGAACATAGTTTTGTATAAGAAATGTTTTCCCCTCCTCTAATTATCCTGGATAAAAATAACAAAAATTGAAACCTTATTGTACATCTACAGGATACTACCAATAATACTCCGAAAGATGAAATGAAGTTGAAAAGATGGTTTTATAGAAAAATTGTCGGTATCCAGGAATAAAATGAAAATTCAAGAGCCTTATTGCACATCTGCAGAAAAACAACTATATTCAAGAAATATTTGACTACTGCTTAAAATGAAAGAGTTCTTTGAAACAAGATTCTGTTTTAAAAAATTCTGTTTCAATCCCCCAATTAGCCTCAAGAATGAAAACGAAAATTCGAAAAACGTATTGCACATCTACAGGACACAACCACTTATTTCAAAAAATATTATTTGGGTTCTTGCATAAAATGTTAGATGACTTCTGGGAACATGAGTTTTGAAGAAAATGTCGTTTTCCGGTCTCCAGTTGATATGTCGATTGAGATGAAAATTCCAAAACCTTGTTACACAATAAGACACCGTCATATCTTTAAAAGATGTTTTGGCTACTGTGTCAAATATAAGAGGAGTCCTAGGATCCAGGCCCCAGGATCATGAAACATCTTAAGCTTAAGTCAAAATCTTTATTTTATACTAAAATGTTGTAGAAGTCAAGCAATCCAAAATTAAAATATTTTTTTATATTGCGTCACAAAAGTGTTGTTTTCTGCAAATTTAGATATTAATTCAATAATAAATAAACATTTTACAACCGATTGAAAATTTGACTTAAGTCTAAGACTGTTTCATGATTCTGGGGCTTGGTGTTGTTTTTCGACCCTCGATTTAACCCTAGGGTAAGAATGAAAATTCAGAACCCTATTTCACACCTGCAGGACACCACATATCATATTCCAAAAGATGATTTGGCTACTGCGTAAAATACAAAAGGAGTTCTATGAGCCAGGGTCCTGTTTTACAAAAGAAGTTACGACTAAGATTAAAAATGTAACTTTCCAAATAACTTTCTTTTTACAACAATTTAAAATTGCTTTTAATCTTTTTAAAAAGAAATTATAAACGCCTACCTGTACATTGTACCATCTAGCGTTAACCTGTTTTATACCAGCACATTTTCGACAGAAACATTAATTTTGCAAGATTTTACATTCAACTTAAGTTTTTGGTCTTAGAAGTAAGTTTTTTTTTTTGTAAAACGGGTCCCAGGTTTTTGTAGAAAAACGTTCCCGCTTCAATTTGCCCAAAGGGTAAAAATGAACATTCTTAAACCCTATTGCACACGTACAGGACACCACAAATCATATATTTCAAAAGATGGTTCGGCTACTGAGTAAAATATAAGTGATTTCTGAGAATCGGATTTTGAAAGAAAAACGTCTTTTTACAACCAAAATTGCCTCCCTGTCTGAAAATGAAAAATAAGAAATTTTATTCCACAGTAACAGCATACCGCCAATCCAATTTCAAAAGATAATTTGACTATACTGCAAAAATAAAAGAGGAGCTCGGTGTTCGTAGAAAAAACCCATCGTTTTTCGACCCCCAATTTGTCCCTTTGGGTGAAAATTAAAAGTCCGAAATATTATTAAACATCTACAGGACACCACAATTCATATTCCAAAAGTGGAATTCGATACTAAAAAATGTAAGAGGAATGTGAGGAAGAATATGATGTGATAGACTGACGGGCAAAGATAACAACAATATACCCCAACTTTCTTTAGAAAATGGGACTTTGAACAAGGAATATTTCTACTACAACACATGTTATAATAACTATAAAATTTTCTTACAGACGAAATCCACCCAACATCATGTCCGGGACAGACAGACGTAGCGCAGAAGAAAATGTTTCAAACAAGCAGAAGGAACCCCATTCTCTAGTCTGTGTTACCACACTCCTGGAACTTATAGTCCTAGCGTTCGTTATTTCGGTCGAACTCTTGCTTAGGTGAATATGTTTTTAATTAATTTTTATCGAAATGGACATATTTGAAAAGGGGGAAATTTTAAATTTTGGTATGATTTGCAGACTTAACCATAAAATTGTTCATATTAATCAAATAGATTTTCGAGGTTTGATCACAGGTACTTGGGTCTTGGTTTATAAATCTGTATACACCTTATTGATATGTAAAAAAAAAAGTACTTTTTTACATATCAATAAGGTGTATGCATATTTATAAACCAAGACCCAAGTACCTGTGGGTTTGATGTTATAATGATTAGTAATTTAAGGATTTGATTTATTTTAAGGTTAGTTTGAGTTGTGAGGGAATGCTTTGAATTAATTTAGGATTTGCTGGATGTTTTGTTTGGTGAAATGGTTGAAGATACTGTAGATTTGGATAGGGTTGGTTTGGCTTTACATATATTTAAGTTACCAGTATTAAAAGTTGAAAGGGTAAGTCTAGGATGGGCTACATGTTTTTGATAAGGTTTAAGTCGGTTTATGTTAGGGTAAGCTTGTGTTAGATAGGCGTTTTTCTAAAGGTAAGAAACAGGCAGTTTGAATTTAAGGTCAAGGTAATGTGGGTGACATTAAAAAAATCCAATTACATTAGGGAGGGGGGATGAAACCACTGCAATTTTAAGCAAGCTCTGTCGCCTGAAGTTTGTTTTGTATTCTTGCTTTGAGTTATAACACAAACAAACCTCCTTATGAATTAGACTCATTAACGTCCTGGAATGTTTATTTCAAATTCTTAACTTATTGTGTTGAAATCTTGATATATCCACCATCACCTTTACGTTAGAGTGTTTTATTTATTGATCTACGGAATATGTGATAATTTCTTTGTAAAGTAATCACTGACTTTTTTTGAATCTGTTAATTTCTAGATTTACAACTATATTTCCTCTCCGTCGTCAGCCATTTTCCTGTGTGGACGAGACCATTAGTCGACAGACAAAACGCTCTCAGTTTATTGGGTTCGCCTTCAACTCGGACCTGCCAGATTCCATTGTGTATTCTCTCAGTTTTTGCCTGCCTCTGTTTATCGTTGAGTATTAGAACTTACTGAAAAAACTTTTAAATATACATTCATGCGTATTTATATTAGTATTGGATTTGCATGTAATTTTTCTAACTCAAAAGCAGAACTTTTGCTTATTTGTCTACATCATTGGCAATTTTTTTTTCTAATTAAAGAAAATTAACTACGCAGCTTTCAATGCGTAATAAAGTCGTCAGTTTCTTACATAACTTGCCTAGAAACATAATTTTTTTTCTCTCTTTCGATTATGAAACATAAAATACTTTGTCGTGTAAAGACGAGAGAAGAGGTGAAAATAAATTTATATATTTGTAATAAGAACATTACATGTAAGTTTAACTATGGACAAACAACTTTTACATAAATACACTAATTTGAAATTAATCTGATAATAATTTATCTGTTCCTCACATATTTTAAAAACATGTTTCAGAAATGTATAACGTATTTTCAGATTTTAGTGGGGGAGGTAGGACTATGGGCCTTTGCCGAAGATCGCCAGAGAACCATTCGTGTTCTTTGTCAGAACTGCAGGGTACCACAAGTCACTCGCAGACTTGTTAGGTTTGTAGGTAAGTCAGAAGTATGTCACAAATTGTTTGAAAAACAATGCCTTTGAAGTGTAAATAGAGGTTCTCGACTCACAGAAGTACAAGTTTAACACCACCTTTTATTCTTTGAAAGACACAAGACAGAACCAACAGTATTCATACCGAATTCTGATACTACAGTATTTGAGTTATCTTTCGTGGATCAATCCATTGATGTGTTGGATGACTGTCTAACACTTTCACACCACAATATACTAAGTATAACGGCTGTCGAGTTATTTACCCCTACTCGTTCCTGAAAAAAAACCGTTTGGAAGTACATGAAATGATTCACAACAAACAGTAGAAATTACGATTACTAGATATTAGATTTGAAATACATGACAGAAGCTTTTTGGATTAGGAACATGTAAAAGAGATAAATGTATGCTGTATGGTATTTGAACACCATTTTGTTCTCCTTTAGTGGAGGTATTTCCAATCTACCTTTGATGGCATTAATTTCACCTGCATGATCAGATATGATATAAATATGAAACCATTTAATATTTAATGGCTATTTCGAAATCACTGGTATTGTATGCGATGAGTCCAGTCTTCACCCCCTGAACAATTTGCATATTTAATGAACTGTCAATGGGTTTGCGACATAATAACGTGACAAAAACGAGGATCGTTACAATAGGATTCTGACATTATCGACAGCTTGTTTCGCGACATAGTTTCTTAATGACAAATACCAAAACAGACTAACTTTAGCCGCTGTTTTATGGACCGTTAACGAAATGCTAAGTGAATAAAATTGCTTTAGAAGGGGGAAAATTGCTGCAAAATGTGTTTCTGACACGATGATTCCAGTGGCTTATGCTTAAAACGATAACGCCAACTCATATAGTGCTGATCAGCATTGCATCAACCTTCCCTTCCTGTAAATATACTTTGAGCATTGGACAGGAACCCACAACATTGTAACCCTTAATGACAAAATAATTTTGAGTCGGCTCTAAATTGGTAAAAAGTTTTAAACTAATAAGCAAACACGACTCCTTGTTTATTGGAAAATCATAAAATCCTCTTTATCTTTCACGACACTGTTCTTCGTGACTTTCGTCAGATAAATTTTGTTTCAGGTGTTGAAGGTTAAATTCTAAGGCTTACTTATCTATCATCATCTCTAGTTAACATAATTATGCTTGAACAGATCAAAGGATTATCGCTTTATCAACAGAATTCATCCCTTTAATTATTTATTGTTTAGGTGACTATCCTGGTAAGATTAACCTATTAAAATCTTCCTCTGTCTGGAGGATCAGGATATTAACTATTAACTAAAGTACATACAATGCACTTATATGTATTTACGAATCCAAAGATTGAATATCAGGGGAATATTGTTTTCGGTTCCTCTGTCTGTACCTTTACCCTTTCCTGTAACATTTGAAATAAATTAGGAGACTTCATATACTTGCACAAAACGTATCTTATATTTATATTTAATCCTTTATTTTTTTATTTAAAACAATAATGATAAATTATAAATTTACCTGCACCTTATATAGACTAGTGCTGATACCTTACCTTTCTTTGTAATTACAGGTGTTTTCATATTTGGAGCATTCACCCTTATGGTGTTTGTTGACGTCACGAAGCTCATGACTGGGCGTTTACGACCAAACTTCTTAGAAATCTGTAAAATAAACCAGACGGCATGTAAACTAAACGAAAATCACGGAGATGAAAGTATGTGTCTAGAAAAAGACGAGATGGCACTGAAGCACGCGAGGTAACCACCTTCGACACGGTATATATTAAACCAAGTTTATAGTACAAAATGATATTGGCACTCTGTTATGCGTTAATCTGTATTTTTCCACTGGAATGAATGTATTTCATAGAATATGCATATGAGAGTTTGTGAAATTAAGATGTCGATAATGAAAAAGAAAACATGAATACATGGTTTTGTTCAATGTTCGGTATAGTCTGCATCTTTGATTCTTGTTAGATTCAGATATAGTTTTTTTTTCTCTCTCTCCTTTTTCTTCCCCCTGTCATAATAGAATTCTACTACAATGTCTTTTGAAGTGAAATATGGAGATAACAAACAGTATTCAAGCTCAAAGTCCATTAAAACAATACAAATCGGGAGCAGAGCAAACACGAACCTCCAAAAACATCAGAGGTGGGATCAGGTGCCATGGAGAAGTGAGCATCTCCTGCTTAAGAGAAATTTAAATTATAATATAATAAATTCTGAAGACCAATATTCAGAAAATATCTGAACTTCAGAACAAAAACAATTTCTTCTCTTAATACATGTATATCATGTCTCGACTCCAAATTTAGGATGTGAGAGATGTTTTTGGGAAGGAAAAATTAAATAGAATAAAATAGAAAACCGTTTGTTTCTAATCTTATATCAAAGTAAAATTGCAGGATATGTTTAAAATATTTGTTATCCTTTTTAATATATTTCGCTTAACATATCTTGCTTTTATTTAATGATAAAACAAGCGGTTTTCTATTTATTATTTAGACTCTTTATTCCATCTTAAAGGACGACACTTGGTTAATTAGGATGTAAAAGATTTGCAGATCTGTTATATCGGCTTTCATCCCTTAAACTACAGTTATGGATCATAAAATATCGAACACAAATAGTGTTTGTTTGTTTTTTTTTTTGAAAAAAAAATATCCAAATTTGAAATTATTCTTCTTACTTGAATTTTAGTCCGATTTATTTCAAGAATTCACTATATCCGTTCAAGAAATGTTGAGAGGGGAGCGAACAATTTTGAAAAGAACGTTTTTCTTTTGGGATGCCGACTTTGAGTCGTTTAAAAAAAAAACAAAACAAAACAAAAAACTTTTATGATTTATATTGAGATAATTGGTGTATTTACCATGGCTTGTTTGTGTATATTACAAAACATCTATAACCCCAAGAAATTGACGTCAGTCGGAAATCCGGAAACGAACATCGGATTCCGTTCATTATCTGCTTTTGTTACACATTCGTATTCAGTTACGAAATAAATTTCTTTTTGGAAAGGGAATATTGTAAAACATGATTGTGTTCTGTAAGCAGCCCTTCGATCAGATGTTGAAAATTATAAATTGCATCTGTTATTCATATTTTTTTTATATTCCTTTAGTAGTTTACTTGCTTAAAAAGACGGTCAAATTAAAATGTATGTCCTCTCTCATTTTAAATAATAAATTTTAAGCATTATTCTTGCTTTTCCTTCCTTAAAAAAATGAAATTATCCAGTCATGTTTTAATAAGAATATTTTTCATCTTTACTGATCTTCAACACGTAAAAATGAAACATCACTGAGCGATGTTTTCTCATATTCAAAAGAACTGTTTAAATAAATTGCTGAAATAAATTATTCAATAGAAGTCGATAGCAAAATTATGCACAATACGTTGGTTTATGTGAAATCTCAGGAAAAAGGGTCACCGCCTTAAGGCTTCGTGTCCAGTGACCTCCTATATACTTACCAGCTGAACTTTGCCATTTAATAATACATTGAGTTAGACAAGTTGGGTTTAATCTCATTTTAAATGAATTCTTTAATATAATTTCAAAGCTTTTTTGTAAAGCAATATACAATTTACAATTCTATCAAAAGTGAATATTGCTTGGTAATAGTGAGGTACATATATTTTGGACTACTTTGATTTTGCATTGAAAAAAAAAATTACGCAAGATTAACATTAGGATCCGTCTCACATTAACAAAACATCGTTAAATTTAAGCTGTTTCATTTTGTTTTTTGTTATTTTTATCCACTTTGTTTTGACCTTAAATACATTTCATAATGGAAATGGATCCGATTCGTTGATGTCATTCATTAATTCCATTGTCTGTTATCAATGAAAAGGCAAACTCATTTTAATGCATTGAATGTCTAATCGATTCCCTGCCGATTTATTGTCTTGTCATAGTTTTGTCTGCGAAGAGAAACTGATTAATTGCAGCTAACGCTGGTATAAAAGAGTTATCTCGTAATACTCTTTTGCCTTTTTAGATCTTCATTTCCTTCCATGGATGCCGCATTGTCATCTTATGCTGCTATGTTTATTTCGGTAAGCAACAAAGAAAAATCACCATGTCACGATTTTTTGTGAGTAGGAGTTAAACAATTAAGAGATTCTTTCACAAAATAAATATCATCTAATTGAACAATATTGATTGTATATAAATTGATCCTTAAAATACATTATATTATGAAATTCCAAAAAAAAAAAAAACCTTGAGGAGAAAGCGACCTACCCTTAACACTGGTGGATTTAGATGGGGGCCATGCCCCCGCCCCCCTTTTGTGATCAAAATGTCCCAAGACCCTTAACCTGTTGACCCCTCTTTTCAAGAATCTTTGATCTACCACTACTTACTATCTTCAATTCCTTTTCTCTTGTTCCATTTTATAAGGAAGAGCATGTTTGAAATTGTGCTTAAAGCTCCGTATACATATAACCTACGATTTTTAACGAGATATTTGGTAGAGAAGAATATCTCAGATTTTAGAGAAGAAGCTAAGAGCTAATTTTCCTATGTAAAATATATGTAGTACATGTACATCTCTCTTGTCAAAGTTAATTCGTCATAATTCGTCAAATGTTCCTATGACAGCCATATGCTTTTCTGCGATTGCGACAAGTAAAATAATCGGCGTACGACGCTCATGCAATGCTCAATTCTACAAGTACTGCATATTTGCTAAAGTAATATTTATTCATGATTATCGCATACGGTAAAGCTGTCGTTTACTGATTACATGCATAGCCTTTTTAGAAATAATTTTTAAAAAATAGTAGAACATATTTCAATTTATTTAAATAATAATCGATAAGCGACAAAGGTATCAAGAAAGTCGAATCTATATAGCAAGAAACTGCGCTAGTTTTAGGAAAGCCAAGTAACAGTCTTAAGATGCATGTAGTAAATCATAGATTAATCCACAAAAGCCGAAAAAGACATAGGATAATGGACGGAACATTCGTACGACTGTTAATCATTAGACACATACATGTACAAGTATACAGAACTATAATGGGAAAAACCACGGAAACCAACGAAATACGAGTCTAAGTATAGAATTTTGTTGACAATGACAAATTCTGGAAAATGTTCAAAATCATAGCTTTTATTTGTTCCAAAATGACTATACTGCGGACGACAGACCTATGACTGTCAGTTACAACAGTTTTGCAATGTGTAGGGGCTTTATGAAAACAAACTGCGAAGATAACAAAGTGATAATTCTCAGAAGTCCATTACACAATACAAATAATGAGCAGATCCAACACTGACCTCTAAAAACAGAGGTGGGTACAGGTGCCATGGAGAAGTAAGCATCCCCTGTCGATCGGTCATACCTGCTGTGTGCTCCTAGTCATGATCTGGTTAACGGAAAAATCTATAGACAATTCAGTGTGTGAAAATAATGGCATAACACTTTGTATGAATGAGTCAATATTCGACTTAACAACAGATTGTATTTGCAAAAAGTTCATTGTATCGACCATTGAATTTGCGTAAATTTGACTAAACGGGATTGTTATCCTTGTATCATCAACTTATTTGTTAGTAGCCTGCCTCGTTTTAGAACACGCTCTTGCATATCAACTGGTTGATATGAATGTCATATGCAGGTTATCCTGGTATATTTCTGCATAAATAAGAGAATTTTACGATAGAAAAGTTGAAGTCACCACGTTTATCATAAATTTTAGTTGTCAGCTTACAATCAATGTCTTTCTATGGTAAAACATCCAAAAATGAAACGGATTTTTCTGACTCTGTTGTGTCTTTTATTTCGAGTTCAGTTCGAATCAACGTAGGAATGAAACTGAAACTTATTAATTGATAAAATGTCTTCTATCTATCTAAATGTCGAAGTCCACAGCAAGAGACCTCTTAAATTTATGTTAAAGTTTTTGAATAAATGCTTCATTTGAATACAAAAAGTACAGTAAATCAATTTTTCTTTGCGGCTACTAACTTCCACGATTCTGTCATTAGAACACAATCGACTTCTTTCTTTAGTAATTTTTCGGTTCTTTTCTTTCAAGATGTGAAAAACAATTAACTTTTTCAGCAAACTATCCACAAACTCTCTAGTCCCAAGGAAACTTTTCAAGGTATTTTTGCATGCAAAGGTCGAAGATTGATTTACAGTTTAAAAAATAATCTGAACTTGAGTGTTTATGAAAGGCTCACGAATATGGTCCCACTGCTTTTACACGGCAATGATTTGCATGTTCCCCAAATTCTTTTTTGTCAAATTGCTAAACCCCCTCCCGGCCAGGAGTTTTACAAACCCCAAATAATGCTGATGAAGAGTTCAAATGATTACATTTTTGAATTTCATTATAAGACTTTATTAAAGTAATATTTAAACCCAATGATCATGAAAAAAGGGAACTTGACTCATTTAATCAATCTAAAAACATATACTTTTTTGATAGACGTACGTTCATGGTGCTTTACGAAGTCGATCAGTTCGAGTTCTCCGACCATTCCTAACAGTTATGTTCTGTATGCTCTCTTTGCTATGTGGCCTTGTCAAATTAGGAATTGGTTCCAGCCATTGGACAGATGTAGCTGCAGGATTCGCCAGTGGGTCATTCATGGCAGTTTATTTGGTAAATATGCTTAAACATAATCGTCATTTTATGAGCATTGATCATCCTTGCTTTGAAAGCTTTGCCTTGGAAATATTTTAATAAACCTGAACTCTGAGAGAATATCATCTTTCATATTAACCAAATCAAATTCATGGCATGTCTGCTCTTCTTAAATTTTTGTTTCATGTAAAAACCTCTAATACAATATCTATTAGAAAGCTATGTCCAATTTTAATATGTTTTACACCATAAAAAAAACCTTTTAAAAAAAATAAACTTCCTAAGTTTATGTGTGTGAAACATGAAGATAACAGTAAGTACGCTCAAAAGGGCAAATAAACGACACAGATTAAGTGCAGGACAATCAAGTATCCTTGAAAACTTCAGAGGTGGAATCAGACGCCTTGAAGAACAAAGCATGTGCATGTATTTTTAGAGGGGGGTCTATTTTAAAATTCTGGAATACAAAATTGTAGATCTTAAAGCTTCTTCCTCTTTTAAAAATAATTAGACAACTTATGCCATCTTTAAAAAAAAATGTGTGGTTGCCCTCTCCAGACCGACTGGCTAACAATGGCCTGACTCAAAACTTTTTTAACCTCCAGGAAGTAATTAATTTTTTATGCATTCTGGAAAGAAGATTTTAAAAATTTAGCATTGAAATTGAAATTTTCTGGAAAAGAATTATCACCTACCTACCGATCCAATTTTTTCATTCCGAGTCGGGAGAGGGCAAACAAACATTATTTTAAAGTTGGTCTAATATGCTTGTTTACTAGCCCAGTTCCAAACTTTTTTTTATATTCAATTTGTAAGATACTAGTAAAAGCAACAATATTTATATTTAAAAAAATGTAATAACAATTTTGCAGCTCTGTTCCATAATGAGATTATTGTTTCATATTGTTTTTTCCTTTTAGCAGTGTCATTGCAATTTGATTGCATTTGATAGTGACCTGTGACTTTACAGTGAGTTCAACTAACTCACAACATGATCATAGAAATAGGTGATAATGTCTGTTTAGTTTAATTTAGTTTGTTTGTTTGACAGCTCTTCGAGAATTTTTACTTATATTTAGACGCAAAATCCTAAGTGTCCCTAAGCTGATAAAAATTAGTCACAAGACAGTAATAGCCAGTGTTTGCCTCTAAAATTATCCTCCTCTGTACTTGGGTAGCTAATGAAAAAACAACAATAGATATTCCAGAATTAACATTAATACATCATTATACATGTACATGTTTAAAATTGAACATAAAATGCGCAGGTGAGCAAATGGTTCTGGGTGTATTATGTGAGTATTTCATACAATAAACTCATTTACGCTCTGAAACTAAAGAAATTTGTAAAAGAAACATAAATATTTTTTAAGGAGTTTTTGAATGAAAGTTTTTGTGTTTATTAAACACAAAAACACATTTCACCTCATGGACGGAGAAGGAAATTCTGAAACCTTATTGCATATCTGCAGGACACCACCAATCATGTTTTAAAAGTTGATTTGATGTAAGAGGGGTTCTGGGAACATAGTTTTTGTTGAGAAACGAAAAAAAGTCTTTGTAGAGAAACGATTTTTCGACCCCAAATTAACCCACAGGGTGAAAATGAAAATTATGAAACCCTGTTGCATATCTACAGGACATTACCAATCATTTCAAAATATAATTTGGTTACTTTATAAATATCACCATCACCTGCATATGGAGTTTATGTCTCCCATTTGAATCGATACGCAAGAGCATTTTGCTACAAACAGTTTCTAAAACAAGGCAGACCTTTGGTAAATCTGTAAGTTGATAATACAAGGATGTCAACAATCTCCTTTAAAGTCAACATTTTGCAAATTCTATGGTCGATACAATGGCTTGTTTGCAAGTACAATGTGTTGTTAAATCAGTTTTTGACTGACGTCTTTCATACAAATCGTTAGGCATTATGTCTAGATTCTTCCGTTCACCCGATCATGACAAGGAGCACACGGTGGGTGTGACCGGTCGACAGGGGATGCTTACTCCTCCATGGCATATGATCCCACCTAGCTCTGTCTTCAGAGGTCCGTGTTGACTCTGCTCATATCTTTTATCGTTGAAAATGGACTTTTGAGAAAGAATACTGTTCGTTATCTTTACATTTCGTTTAAGAGGAATTCTGGAAACCAGAACCCAAAATTGGCCTCAAGGGTGAAAAGTAAAATTCTGAGACTTTATTGCACGTCAACAGGAAACCACTTATCACATTCCCAAAGATGAATAGGCTACAGCATAAAATATGAGAGAAGTTTGAAGATTTTGTAGAAAACGTTGGTTTTCGACCCCCAAATTGGCCACAGTGTAAAAATGAAATCCCCAAACCTAATTAAACATCAACAGGACACCACCTATCATATTTCAAAAGATAAATTGATTACTACTTAGAATGTAAGAAGAGTTTGAGGAAGAAGTTATATTCTGACAGAAGGACAGACGGACCAGGATTACAACAATATACCTAGCATTCCTTAATAAGTGCGGGTAAAATTAATGACACTTGTTATACAAAACTAAATCTTAAGGTTAATACTCTTATGGAACATGTTAAACATTAAATATTATCAAAACATGATTATAATGTCATCTTTCGTGTTTCTCTTACTTTTACTAGCTTATTGGTGTTTTGGATTTTCAAACAATAGATCAGTAAGTAGAAAAGAAATTTAGACTTATTTTACTGAATTATTTACTATAGTATATCTCTTTTGATAGCAATGCAAAAATTACGAAAAACAAGAAACAATTATAACAATATTCAAGGCAGCCAATGTCATTGATCCTGATGTAAATATCACTCACCCACTAACACTTTCGCACGTACTCACCCACTTACCCATACACTTACAAGCTGGCACTATATCCCCTCCAACTTCATGGCAAGGGAATAATAAGGAAGCAGTTAGGACGTTCCTAGATGTAATCTATCACAATGTTCCACTGCACATTGATATTATGCAAAACCGAATCACATTATGGTATCCTGAAGCAAACCGAATAGAAACCATTATATCATACTTTTGAATAAATTGATGTATTTAATTCATTACCGAAATAAATTCCCAAGTTTGAAGAATTCCATAGATATTCAAGAACTAGATAGACACTGTAATCACATACCCTTTAGCTCGAGGTCCCATCGGAATATTTATACATGTTCTACCTTATTTCTATTAATTTTAATTCGTATCATATTTTTTGTATTCTGTCAAGCGATATTCTAGAAAATATTATGTTATCGACCTGGGCCCGAGGTTATTATGAAAACTTTTTTTCCATATTCAGACTTTAACTTCCACTCTGTTCTTTTAAACCCTCGTCCTCTGTGAACAAATTCCTCCTCAAAATGGAGAACAGTGGAGCCTCGTTAATCAGGACCTTAATAATCGGACTCCTCTCCTCAATTGTGGATACCTTACTATCGTAGAAAGTTTACTATATGACACCGAATATTTCTACAAGCCATTATTATTGCGTTGTCCTTCAAACTTCTCAAAGAAATAAACAAAAAAATGTATATTAAATCATATTTTTGAGAAAACAATTTACATGACGACATACTCAGATTTGACTTAGAATTTATTGTAACAAACTGGAATATTTCACAATATATATTTACAAAAACAAGATTAAAATATGAATCTGTTATGAAAAAAAAAATTATAAACAGCCAGATCGGCAACATCATTACTGATCTGAATGTAGATCAAAAAAAAAAAGGATTATGGGCGGTTTCAACTAGAACACGAGCTGATACGATTTCCATGTTGTTTCCTTGCTTTAGAAGTCTATATCGGTCTAAATATTCTGGTTTTAACCAGAGCTGTTATAAGTAGCAATCTGTGCTTGTGTTTTAATGTTCTACTGTTATATGGGTTTAATATCCGAATTTTCCAGAGAGATCTTTATATTCTCTAGTATTCATGCATTAATTTAACGGACTCATGAGAGACGTGGTTCCTGAGCACAAGTCGTGATTAGAAATCCATTTCAGGTAGATGTCTTACTTAATGGCACAGCTATACTTGAAAGAAACCTTGGCAGTTATTTCCGGAAGGAAAAAAAGTGTTTTAATGATCAACATCTAGATACCTGTGTAAAAAAAATCTTCTTACACATTAAAAGCTTTATAACAGACCATGTAGACTAAGTACTTTCAACAAATTGCAACAATTCGAGTTGGTCATAATACCTGCCATCCAAATAAGCCAATGAGCAACCGATTGTCTGAAATTATTTCATTTATTTATTATTTTTAATTCACATTGTATTTTTTACAGAAATTATTATTTTGCAATGAAAATATTTGTAGGAAGAGTTTTTGGTTTTAGTCAAGTTCTTTTTGTAAAAGGGGTCCCTGAATGTAGAATCTCTTCGATCTAGGTGTTTATTTCAAAATATTACTCAAGGTATTTCTGATTTTATTTTTGGTTTTGTAAAGACCTAAATATACCATTTTAGCAATAAATGATTGCAAAACACTTTTTATCACTTTTCAAAGTATTCTAAAATGTACAAAGATGGTTTTCTAGTTTTCTTATTATATAAACTTCCTTCTTAATTTCCAAATATTTATATTCATATAATTAACCAAAAATTTGCTTCCAGGGTCGTTATGTACTGAGAGGATTTAACGAACACATAGAGGAGAAAAAAGTGATGTCTCAGTTGGACATAATTCTACAAGAGCAACGGTTTTTAGAACAACTTATTAGAGAGGTAACGGCAACAATTTAATTCCTTTACAGAGACTGACGAACTATTCACCTCCTTAAAAAGCTTCTGAATTTGTTCATGAATTGATGATGTTGTTGTAATTCAGAAAAAGAATGCCTTTTTTTTAATTAATACATAATTTTATTCATATGAAGTGAATGGGAATGGGCAGCAGGTATAACTTATTTTAGCCTTCCCCCGAAAGAATGCCTTTCGTTATGTTACATTTATTATAAGAGAAGAACTTCTTTTTAAATTATACCAACCGACTTGAATGCTGCAGAATAAGATAGCCCCAAAAAATGGAAACAGTTGAACTATAGGTTTGAAACTTCTTGAAATTCTACAAATATACGACCATAATATGATACTATTTTTGTATGGAAGGGATGATACAAAAGAGTTCTTATGAGAAATGAAGAACACACTTCAGTAAAGTTGTGTTCAGCTATATAAGCATCATTATCTGAATAAATAAATCATGGAATTCTACTTAAAATTGGTTTTTTTTCTATTGTATTCATCTAGTATTCTTTCTGCATCATATTTGAAAACAAAAACAAAACAAAACTGATCAAATCATTATTGAGTACATTCTCTTTGTCTTTATAAAAAAAATAATAAAACCAAAACAAAACTGATCAAATCTTCATTAAGTATATTCTTTTAATTATATTTGATGAAGAATTAAACCAAAACTGACCTTTTGCCTATTTGGTAAAAAATAAAACTAAATAAAACAAAACAAAACAAAACAAAAGATCGTCATTAAGTATTATTGATAAAAACCAAAACAAAACTTATAAAATCTTCATTAAAACCAGGAAAGAGATGAATATTTTGCCATTTCATGTATTCTGTAATTTGGAGAAGAAATTAGGAAAAAAGAATTAGAAGTAAATGATTGCGTTTTAAGAAAGTTGCATTAACTGATGCTGAGATAGCAATCAGCCATTTAAAGCTGAAAGTGTGTAAAATCTGGTACATTCATACTACGTGACGTCCCATTGATGGCTTTTCAACACTTTATATACAATGTAAGACATGAAGATGAAGAACAGTGATACCAGTCAAATCATTCCTCACGATAAATTAGAGACAACTGCTTTTTAAATAAAAATGGATCTCAGAATTTTTCCTATCTTGTGATTGGTCATCTATAAAATCACTACTAATTGTGTGCCACTTAAGCCGACCTGTTTTTGTATTCTTCTGAAGCAGAATTTATTCAAAACCTTCTATATGAATAGAAAAAGTCTCTCGGTGTGCCCTTCCATTCGGCATTTAGATACATAGATGATGTTTTATTCATTAGAATTTAAAAAAAATAATTTATACATTAATTTGATATATCCCACTGAACTCAAAATAAAAGACACCACAGAGTCTGACACGTCTGTTTCATATTTGAAATTTTACTAGGAGAGACATTGGTGGCGAACAAACAACTAAATGATAAAGTGACTTCAACTTATCATCTTCAAGCTCCAATCTCTATGTTGCAATATACTTTTATCACCTGCATGTGGTGTATTTATCTCCCAGTTGATTTAATACTTCATCGTACGATCAAATGAGGCAGGCTAATGACAAATAAGTTGATGTTTAAAGAGTATCAGCGATCTCGTTTATTTTCAATATTTTGCAAATTTTATAGTCTTTACAATTGATGCCTTGGACAAAAATGCTGTTCTTGGATTGTCATTTTTTTTTCCGTTAATTAACATTGAGTTTCATGTTCCAGCTTGGCACGCCATCATCGTTGCCCTTGCAGGGTTACCAGATACCCAGAGCACACACGGATGATAGGTGGCGCCCCCTTAACAACAATGCATAGAACCACAGTACAACAGTCCTTGAATAATGAAGACAATGACATGCATTGACAATCTGTATTGATTTTCTCGGATGAATCTTCTCTTTGTTTATGAGCTGTGATTTATCTAGAGTTGCCTGTAAAAGTTGTTTATCAATAGCATATATCAGGGTTGCATTGGCAGTTCAATTGTCATATTGTTTACATCTTAATTAATACACATAAACAGAAAACCCATATTGTCGTCTGCTTAACGGAAAAAGTTATTAATTTCAAATGATCATTATTTTCTTCAGTGTTTCAATTAGTACATGTAAACAAAATCAACTCACTTTGAGATTAATTAACATTTCTTAGTGAACGATGTGGTCATTATAATACTTTATTACTTATGATTCATAAATATACCTTCAAAATCGCGTATTTACTTTTTTTTAATTTCATCAATACCGTCTTGTTGAGATAGCACAATTTATCGTAAAAATATTTGCAAAACAATATCATCTGTTGATATCAAATTCCTCAAAATGAAAAGGCTATAGATTCAAATTATTTTGCTTTATCCAGGATTTTATCGCCTTTCTCGAATTGCTCGTATTTTACCATCACGACACTTCCGTTAAATGTAGATTACGGGTGGGGAACTTCCTCTCGGTCGCTTATCTCCCCTGTAACCATGGTGTGTTAAAGATTGTTTCGTGCGGGCTGACAGTCAATGAATTTTTTTGCAGGATGTTGGACGATTGAATCAAGCAACATCGCAAGATTAAATCTAACTTCAGTTTATGGTTCACAGGAATGTACTAAAATCACTAGAATGGATTATGCATTGAAAATTGATCTTTCATTCAAAACTGTCTGATAATAATGTTATCATTAGACCCATGTCATAAAATGAAGACTAATCAAAGTTCTCATAGTTCTGTTAGTCAGGCTCAGAACAAAATTACTGAAAGGCTTTAATGGCATTATACATGAAAAAAAAAAATTGTAAAAATATCAAAATTTAACAATGTAAATAAAAACAAAATTGTCCAAAATTATCTGGTCATACTAACGTTAAATTGACATCGAATGTATAGGAAAATCTCCATATTACTTTCTTATGTTTGATTTGACGTTTGAGTTGTCTCAGCAGTGGTTGATAGCACGCACTAGTTGTTTACATGTAAACTTCATTTGGCGGCTGTTCAGTCGTCATCAGGTTGGACACCATGACAAAAGCCGGCTATTGCTCTACAAGCAATGAGTGGCTAAAATGCAAAAAATGATGGTGTTAAAATGTAAATGTAGTTTTGAAATCGGGTAATTTAATTGCTTGCTGTAAACATCTTCAAAACTACGGTTCCTGATAAATTTAATCTGTTTACTATTCAAAAATTCTAATTTGTAAATAAATATTCGAGCATTCATATGATGAAGTCAAGAGCGTAAATATTCTCACACTATACTTTAACAGAGTTTCTATAAAAAGATATTGTTTTAATATAATTTTGATAATTGTAGTGGGATACTCAGTTTCTACATTCTCTACATCTTTACGTGTATCTAACATCATCAACATTTCACATCTTCATTTAAAAAAAGAAAATCTTCATTCATCTTCGGTGACAAGAATTTGTGAGTTGAGCACTGAAGATTACAAATAGAGAATCAGAAATGTTAATTGATTAAACTCTGGTACACAAGAAGCAGACATGTTAATTTTGATATGTTTCTCATACTGCTTTTGCAACTTGCAAAAGAAGTGGAATAAAACAAACTTCCACTGAACATATTTCAAATTTGCTATAAATGTGATATTTCCATCCACCGAAGAAGTACGTCATGACTGATTTCAGTTTTCCTACAAAATCCTGTACTCTGAAGGGAAAATCCACTTTTTCTGCAATTTGTTCTTTATTTTTTATGGATTGATTGAACTTATCAGACACCGTATGCCAAGTCACGACATCATATGAAATGTAACTTACTTTGAGACATTTTTCCAAAACCCCTCAGAGTCTTCTAAAAAAAAGTTTAAATAGAGTTTCAGAAGACAAAACTTTTTTTTCATGAATTTTCAACAAAATGGAAAAGCATATATACAAGTCTATTATGGCAATACTATGTCTCCAGTATAATATTAGCTGGGTAACACTTGGTGACTTCACGGTTTTTTGAATGATAGACTATTATACTTAATGAAGATCAACCATGAAGATAACACATCTTGGTACGCCCAAAGACTCTCAAGATTACAAACTCTATATGTCAAGATGAGGAAACTAAAAAAGGAAACTCTTCAGTATTGCGGTGATTGTCCCAAGTTATCATTTGTAAGACGCCTGTCCTCGGAAGTCTGACAATTTGGATGCGATTGTTAGTTCAGGCTAGCTGTTAAGATTGGGTGTCAATATGCTTGACTGCTTCTTCCAATTTATCGACTCAAAAGCTTTCAAGAATATCTAAAATTAACCATTTCCAAACAGAAAATTTTACAACAAATCACGGATTTCTGATGGTATCAAATGAAACCTTGTCTGAAGGAAACAAGGCCAATGACAATTAGTGATTGCAGTGATACGATAACAGAAATCAATGCTTGAGTAGTTTAAGCCCCACTGCTTTCAGTAGCAGACGATATTTCTACCTGTAAAGCAACTTTGCCGCTCTCCATTTAATATTGATGTGGACATGTAGTATATATATACCCAGATATCCATCAGCACCTTTCAGTCTATCAGAGTATCCTGGATCAGGAACAATGGAACTGGAATAAATACTGAACAAATCAGTAGTTCACTGAGTGAAAACTAAATAACACTGAAACAATGTTTCGAAGTGTGTTCAACATTCGTGGACATTCTTTTGAGGAGGATGATCCAGCTTCTTGTGTTAAAATGGCAGCCAGGGGTATTCATGGTGACGAAATGTCAACCTTTTTAACAACAAACGTTCCTCATGATGATGACTTTATTCCGAACAATCACATGTGTGACTATGATTCTTTTGACTGCAAGCAAGAGGTTTCGACTAAAGCTGAGATCCCTTCAGGAAGAGCCAAGTGTTACACGCTTTCTGACGAGGAGTGCATTCCAGATCGCAGTGACTGCAGGTGCGTCCCTTCCACGAACGATAACAAAAAAACTATCAAAGTGGCTAGAAGTTTAGACAAAATTGAATTCAAAGGAAACAGATACAAGATTCAGATTAAGACTAAAAAGAGCAAGTCTTATGACAGTGCCTTTGGGACCACAATGAAAAAAGAGGGGTAAGCTCATGTCTTCAAATCACCCCTTCATAATCTGGAGGTGCTATATACTCGTCTTTTGGAACGAGTTCACTCATTGTGCTCAACTGAGTCCATTCATAGACATAACTTTTTGTTACAGTTAACATGTGGTACTTGAATCCTGTCGTATCTGTGTATTGAAATGTTAGAGTGAATGTATCGGATTTTTTGGAAAATTTTGATGTGTTTATTTTTTCAGGACGACGAAAACTGTCAGTATTTTGTATTTTATATTGTTTTAAGATACTGTTGTGATGTTTTGATTATATTTCTACAAAATAAAAGATAAACAGATTATTTTTTTCCTTGTATTTGAAGAATAACGCATTTATTCAAGAAACTTTTAAACTGCTTGCCTGGTAAATCTCGCGACATGGGACATACTTTTCAAAAAAGAAAATGACAATATTTTTATTAAATGATATAGAATTTTGATAAATCCAGGAATGGATTTGAGTATTCATTTTTGTGAGTATATCTTTTTTGAAGTGAAAACTGTATACAATTTTCACCAAACGGTCCAACAACTGATTTATAAATAAAATCTGTTGTATTCATAAACTCTACACTCATCGGCTATTGTGACCTTTTCTCAAATTAGCTGTTACATGCCAGGATATATACTAATAACCAATCCTCAGTTGCCATTCTCTTGTACTCTGATTGGCTCTTGTTTTAATGAAATGCACAAGTGTCATACGAAACACATATTAGAGAGCTTCATGTGACAGCTGTAAATGCTAATTTAATGTATAAACTCGTCTGAATAATACTAACATAGCTGCTTAATTTCATTTTGATTCTAGACACTGAATGTTATTACTTTCAGTTATGTAAATGATTGATATTCAAAACTATTAAATATTTATATTAAATGCGACAAATGGTATTCAAACAAAGTACTTTAGTGTTAACAATTATGTTATCTTGATTTAAATTTCAAAAATTCATATCAAACCGCATAATACTATACTATAAAGCCTGGGTTATTCCTGATCTATGGATCTGAGTATTTCTTTACTGAAGTATTTAGGATTGTTTCTTTTACACCATCATGACAATGGGCACACGGCGGGTGTGACAGGGGATCCTAACTCTTCCTTGGTACCTGATTCCACCTCTGTTTTCAGTGGTCCGTATTGGCTTTTGTCACAATTAGTATTGTTTAAATGGACTTTGGAGCATGATAGTTGTTCTTTATCTTCAAAATTCATTTACAATAAATTTGTTTCTATCCGGTTGGATTTTGCTTTTCTTTTGTATTTAGTTTAAGGTTTACTTGTTTAAACATTTTTTTATCTTTCTGTGAAAGGAGTGGACATTCAGAAAAGAATTGAGTCGTATACAGCATGTGCTTACATGTTGGTAACACTTTTTTTGAATGCTCAGACTCCTCAAATCATTCCCTTCTTTTAATGAATTGATTATGTTTCTATCATTTACTGGTGTTTAAAATATAGTCAGTATATTAAAAGTTTTAAGAAATGGTATTTATTTTCCTAAAATAAAAAATGTACATGGAAGCAGCTAAGTATAGCTACATCTTTGAATAAACGTGTAAAAATGTAAAAAGAAAATCCTTGAAAAAAAATTGAAATAAAACTAAACAAGAATGCATCCAAACAAGTAATATATATGTATTTCATTTGATGAATACATTTTTTTATCTTGCGGCTAAAAAAATTCAACATTTATACAGTAGACTATGATAGTAATACGAGACAATGGCTGTCGGATTTGCAAGTCATGAGGTGGTTTTTATATCTGTTACATTGTTAGTATCAAATCAAGTCTAATATTCAGAGCTTATTGAATATATCACTAAACAGATTCACTTTTTCAGACGGATTTCCAGGGATATGAATTCACACTCTCCTAAGGCATTAAATTATGGCTGACACGTTGCAAGGAAAAGCCTGACTTAAAATTCAATCACTCTGTGTTCTCCGAGATCTGTACAACATACCGCACATAAGACGTATTGATCCATAATTCTCTTTTACATGTTTTCAGTAGATGAAGAGACGCATGTTTATACACCAGA